TGCAACTCACATTACCATGATATAGCCTATCTACATGCTTCTTAAATGGGTAGTTACTTTCGTGTGTTGTGCTATAAAATGCGAATTTTGGCTCCCCACTATCCCTTAGTTAGTTCTAGCGGAAACTAGGTAACCTCACTGTATTCATATTACATATCACCAACCAGGTACTTTTCTGCTACACTTTTGGAGATTAATTACCGCGTTGCACGTGTATGATGTGATTGAGAGTAAACCTAAAATTGCCCAGTGATAAAAAATGAGTTTCCAAAACTGTTGCTTAATCCGCAAAATAGTGGTTACAAGTAAAAAAATAAAAGTCCGATCAAAATCAGGAGAGAGAGAGAGAGAGAGAGAGAAAGAGAGAATGTGCGGATGGTATGATCCGTCTATTCCATGTGAAATTTGTTTCATAGTATTGTTTGAGTTCCACTGTTTACCGATAATGACAACAACGGTCCATATAGGGCCACTCTATTGGTAAACGCAAAGTGGCAAACGCAAAGGGGGCCTCCCTTCTCAGACTCCTCCCCGTGCATCTATAAAAGAAGGCTCTGATATATCCGAATGGACGATGTTGACCCGGCGGTTGTGGAAGACAAAAGAAAACGCATGACGTGTAAAGCAAAATGAATACCGGTAGCGCAATACTGTATATAAACAAGCCATGCTACCATATGTTTTTTTCGATTTGCTCTCTCCCGTAATAAAAAAAGAAAGAGTAAATGACACAATAATTAACAAAATACTTTTTTAACTTTTTTCACGTTGACCCGAATACAAATTCAATACAAATCCATTTTACTCAGTAATAGTTTTGCCATTCCAATTTTATTTAAACCAATTGAAATTTCTCAACAAATTTTTTAAATAAATTTCTTCTCCTTTTCTTCTTTTCTTCTTCTCCTTCTCTATACAAATTCAATTGAGTTTATATACATACATTAACATATTTTAAACAATGGCTATCAAAGTTGGTATTAACGGTTTCGGAAGAATTGGACGTTTAGTCTTGAGAATTGCTTTGCAAAGAAAGGACATTGAAGTTGTCGCTGTCAATGATCCATTCATTGCCCCAGACTATGCTGCTTACATGTTCAAATACGACTCCACCCACAGAACTTACAAGGGTGAAGTCAAGTCAGAAGGTGACAACTTGGTCATTGACGGACACAAGATTAAGGTTCACGGTGAAAAGGACCCAGCCTCAATTCCATGGGGTAAAGACGGTGTTGATTACGTCATCGAGTCTACTGGTGTCTTCACCACCCTTGAAGGTGCTCAAAAACACATTGATGGTGGTGCCAAGAAGGTTCTTATCACTGCTCCATCCAAGGATGCTCCAATGTTTGTTGTTGGTGTCAATGACGACAAGATCAGCAAGAGCGAAAACATTATCTCCAACGCTTCTTGTACCACCAACTGTTTGGCTCCATTGGCCAAGGTCATCAATGACAAGTTTGGTATTGAAGATGGTTTGATGACCACTGTCCACTCCATCACTGCCACCCAAAAGACTGTTGATGGTCCATCCCACAAGGACTGGAGAGGTGGTAGAACCGCTTCTGGTAACATTATTCCATCATCCACTGGTGCTGCCAAGGCTGTTGGTAAGGTTATCCCAGAATTGAACGGTAAATTGACTGGTATGTCTTTGAGAGTCCCAACTGTTGATGTTTCAGTTGTTGATTTGACTGTTAACTTGAAGACCCCTACTTCTTACGAAGAAATCTCCAAGGTTATTAAGGATGCTTCTGAAGGAGAATTGAAGGGAGTTTTGGGTTACACTGAAGATGCTGTTGTTTCTTCTGACTTTTTGGGTTCCCACTACTCCTCCATCTTTGATGAAAAAGCCGGTATCTTGTTGAATCCAAAATTCGTCAAGTTGATTGCTTGGTACGATAACGAATACGGTTACTCTACCAGAGTCGTTGACTTGTTGGAAAAGTTTGCCAAGGTTAATGGAAATTAACTATCCGTGAAGTTGTAAGGCATATTTGGATTGAGTAGCTGAGCTGCTCTCCTTTTTTGATTTGCGTATATAGGTTTTATTTTTTTATAAACAAAGAAAAAGTGTCTTATTGAGGAGTTATTTTGTAAGTTCATATAATTTTCAAAAAAAATATTACCAGCCTATTTCTTCTCTTTCTGCAAAATGGAGTTGACAAAGTACTTGGTTGGGAATACGTTTAGGTTATACCGAGGAACTGGACTACCATTTACCGAAGAATTACTGAAGGAAGAGAAGGAGACAATTTCAACTGAACTTGCAAAGCGCTTGTATCGGATATACAAACAGAATATACACGCCTATGAAGATGATTTAGTGGTTCGATATAGCACCTATCGAGATGTTGAAAAAGAGATTGTAATAAACAGTGGATTCCTTGATGAGACGCGATACTTGATTGTCAAGTCGAGAAACCATCGTCTCTTACCAAGACAGACTTTGCTTTTTGCACGATGCAATAACAACAATGATACAATCCTACTAAATCGAGTGGCTAATAATCAAGCGCCCAATAACCACTTGCTTCAGATCCTACAAGATGTGACTGATTCCTTATTTGTTGAGTTTGCTTTACCACCTCGATTCATTCCATCATTCATCAACAAGCTTCTGGCCTGCTTCACCAATGACGTACGACTAGTATATGACATTGGTCAGACAAAATCACTCAATAATATTCTGATTGAAGTTCCTGGTGCTGATGTGAGGATTTTGCAACAGGAGGGGAAATTGTACGACAGTATTTGTCAATTTATGTATCATTGTTCAAAAATTAGATTTAATCACTTGCAACCAAAGAAATTTGTCAGTGATGTGATTAATATATCAGGTGATGGCAGATTCAAGTTTAATGTCGATGATGATGATGACGAGACGCTAGTCTGGTTGTTGATTGAGAATATCCAGTCAGCGCTAGAGGGGTAGTTATAGTTGTAATTGTAGCTGTAGGATGGCTTGTGAGTGGATCTATCAGTGTTGGATTAGCTCATTTCTTGAAAAGAGTATATATCGGTGTTAACGCAAAAGAGCCCAGAGGAGCCAGAAATCTCCTTAAATCTAAAGATATGATTGGGTGTACAAAATAAGCGTTGTATCTCTGAGTTACGTGTTTTTTTGTTTTAGATTGTTTTTCTTGTTTTTCAATTGACGTGTCTCTTGTGAACCATAATTAAATTTTTTATTTTTTATTTTTCAAAAAAGGGATTGAACAATAGTCGTTTTTCATTTTTTTTTTAATAGTTTCAATTCCTCTTTGCCAATAGAACTTATACCCTACTTAAGCAGTTCAACCTAACTACTATTTCCAAAAATAAACGGGAACAGAAAAATCATCTAACCCCCCCTCACAACCCTCCAATCAAACAATGTCTTCATCTGCACAACCACACGAGACGCAGGTGAAGCCAACAACAACACACAAGTTGCACAAGGAAGAGGCCTCAATTGACACCAAATATGAAACAGACGACGGTGATCTCGACCTCGCTAAGAGATCGCAGTACGACGAAGCTCAAGAGACGATTGAGTCGTGGAAGAAATTAGAGTCGGTGTTGGCGCCACTTTTATTCACATTGTTGTCATTTTTCGTTCGATTTTATCGTATTTCCATCAATGATAGTGTTGTTTGGGACGAAGCACATTTCGGTAAATTTGGTTCTTATTACTTGAGACACGAGTTTTATCATGATGTCCATCCGCCATTGGGCAAGATGTTGGTGGGATTGTCGGGTTATTTAGCTGGGTATAATGGATCATGGGATTTCCCCAGTGGGGAGAAATACCCCGAATATATCGACTATACCAAAATGAGGTTGTTTAATGCCACTTTTTCCGCATTGTGTGTGCCTTTTGCTTATTTTACTATGAAGGAGATTGGATTTTCAGTTTGGACCACGTGGTTATTCACATTGATGGTTACTTTGGAAAGTTCGTATGTGACCTTGGGTAAATTTATTCTTTTGGATTCAATGTTGTTGTTTTTCACGGTGTTGACTGTCTTTTGTTTTGCTAGGTTTAACAATTTCAACAATAAACAGAAAGAGTTTACTAGGAAATGGTGGAAATGGCTCATGTTGACCGGTGTTTCCATTGGATGTGTCTGTTCCGTTAAAATGGTGGGGTTGTTTGTAACTACATTGATTGGAATTTACACTGTTGTTGACCTTTGGAATAAGTTGAATGATAGATCAATCACTTGGGTAAGATATGGTTATCACTGGATGGCAAGGATTTTCGGTTTGATTATAATCCCAATTTCCATCTTTTTACTTTGTTTTAAAGTTCATTTTGATTTGTTGTACAAATCAGGACCTGGTGATGCTAATATGTCATCCTTGTTCCAAGCCAATTTGCTTGGCTCACAAGTTGGTGGAGGCCCAAGAGAAGTTTCGATTGTCCATTCAGTTGTCACTTTGAAAAATCAAGGCTTGACTGGTGGTCTTTTGCATTCTCATGTACAAACATTCCCCGAAGGTTCCAAACAACAACAAGTCACCACTTATGGACATAAGGATTCCAACAATAATTGGATTTTCCAACGTCCAAGAGGTCAACCAAGTTATGACACTAGTGGCAACAATACTGATATTGAGTACGTTTTTGACGGTATGCCAATTAGAATCATGCACCCACTGACTGGAAGAAACTTGCACACTCATGACATTGCTGCTCCGGTTTCGAAAACCGAATTGGAAGTAGCATGTTATGGTAATTTAACGATTGGTGATGCAAAGGATAACTGGATTGTTGAAGTTGCTGACCAAGCAAGTAGTGAAGACAAGATGAGATTGCATCCATTGACCACCTCATTCAGATTAAAGAATGAAGTTTTGGGCTGTTATTTAGGAGTTTCTGGCGCTACATTGCCACAATGGGGTTTTAGACAAGGTGAGGTTGTTTGCTTTAAAAATCCATTCAAAAAGGACAAGAGAACTTGGTGGAATATTGAAGATCATAGAAACGAAATTTTGCCTCCAGCACCAGAGGATTTCAAGATGCCTAAAACGAGATTTATTCGTGACTTCGTTCAATTAAACTTGGCAATGATGGCCACCAACAATGCGTTATTGCCTGATCCAGATAAGCAAGATGATTTGGCTTCATCGTTCTGGCAATGGCCAACGTTGAATGTTGGTATTAGAATGTGTGGATGGGGAGCCGACAAGGCAAAGTATTTCATGATTGGATCACCCGCAACTACATGGACATCAAGTATCGGGGTTGTCATTTTCGCAGTCATCACCCTTTACTATCTCATTAGATGGCAAAGACAAATTACAGATTTCCCTAGTGACCAACCAAGCAAGTTGCAAAAATTCGTCATGGGTGGTATTTATCCAATGTTTGGTTGGGGTTTACATTTCATGCCATTTGTCATTATGGGAAGAGTCACATACGTGCATCACTACGTTCCAGCGTTATACTTTGCCATGATTGTGTTTTGTTTTGAAGTTGAATTGTGGACCCTGAAGTTGAATCAAAGGACATCGTCAGCTGTCAGCAAGATTGTCTATGTGGCAATCTACTTGGCGTTGTATTTTGGAGTTGCGTTTACGTTCTACTACTTGAGGTATTTCTCGTTTGGTATGGAAGGTCCAAAGGAGAACTGGAAACACGCCCAATGGTTACTGTCATGGAGAATTGCTGATGATAATTATGTATAGAGAAGACAGTGTGTAGTATTCTTTTGTGTAAAATGGTTTAAAAAATATACAATTTTTTGTTTTAAGAAAAGTGTGTACGAGAGACAAAAAAAAGGACTGACTGTATAAGTTACTCTTCTTCTATTATTAAGCAAAGACCAAAATGATGAGCTTGAGACCTGTAATAAGGAGAATACCAACGTCAAAGAGGATACTATATAACTCACAGCCTTTCATATACCACCAAGCATCAATAAGGTGGAACTCAAGTGCATCCACATCGGCGCATTCGTCACAACAGGGGCAAAAAACCCTCAAACCATCGTCATTTGCATTCCCCACAGATCCACCACCACCACCACTGCCAGCAAGAGAAAACAAACCACAAGACAGAAATGCAGTACCAAAAGAGGATATTGATGATTTCAATGCTACGAAGCTAGTCCTTGGCCAAACAGATAAAGTAATCGCCATAGCTGATCGTGCTGTTGCCAAATTGAATTCAATCAAGCAGGAAAACCCCGAGGATTCAGCATTACAGATCCAAGTTGAAAGTGGCGGATGTCATGGATTCCAATACAATTTACATTTGATCAACTTGGATCAATATTTATCGAAAAATAAGGGTTCATCTGATGTGTTTGTGTTTGAACGACTGGGTGCTGCTATTGTCCTTGATGATTCGAGTTTGACAATCTTGCAAGAACTGAAGTTGGATTACACGAAGGAGTTGATTGGTAGCCAGTTTAAGATTGTTGATAGTCCTTATACTTCGACTGCTTGTGGATGTGGAGCTTCGTTTGATTTTGATTTTGATAAATTGGAGCAAAAGAAACTGAAGGAATAGAGAAGATGTGTAGTTTGTGTGTAGTTGCTTAGAAATAAAGAGGAAACTTTATCATAGAGACTCATTTTTTTATATCACAGTTTGTATTGTTTTAAACAGTATGTAAATTTATGTTGCTAGTATCTCATTAATGCCCTTGATGCTTTGCGTTGAATAAAAGCGCACATCTACATCATCATCACTTTCCAACTTCTCCAAGTTTGACAACACTTGCAAGTTGATCAATTTTTTCAAATCGTCTTCGCTAGGCGCTTGATTCTTGTGTTGAGCTAATGATTCAACCAACGTCAAATAAGATTTAGCAACATTGAATCTAATGTTTGGGACGGAGTCAGTGATTAACCCATTGATAAATGGTAAAACCTTTTCAACCAAGACTTTATAGTCAATGACTGGTATTAATGAAGTTATGGCAAACAAGCAAGTGATTCTTATAATGAAATTTGAATAATCAATCTTATCATCTTCATCGATTTTATCATCTTGGTTTAATAACCTAGCAAGGATTTCTTGCGTGGCCCATTGTGATCCAAATATTATCGTCAAGTGTTTCAAGTTTTCCACAGCAGCTTCTCTAATGGCAAATACCGGGTCCCATAACCACGACATACATAATGATAATAATTCGTCATTGAAAAAGGATTCGCCCAATTGGTCAGCCAATTTAGGAATGTATTCAATAATCGCCAATCTGACTCTCCATTTGTGATCTTGCGCCAATTCCGTGATTGCCGGAAGTAAATTGGTCGATAATAAATTGATGCCAATGGTTTCATTAACCACCGACAAGTTGGAGATAATGTTTAATCGAACATCAGGGAACTCGTCCTTCAACATCGTCAAGAATATTGGCAATAATTTATCAATCGTTGCTTGTCTTTCTAAAATTGGCGATAATTCAGTAATGGTTGATGCCAATGATGCACGGACATTTTCTTGTGGGTCTTGACTCAATTCATGAACCACAGGGATGATTTTATTCAAAATGGTTGCCTTTGTTGGTGGATATTCAGTAAGTAATTTGCAAAATGCTGGCAATTGTTTAGCAATGGCTTTTCTCACCTCACCTTCATGATCCTTCATTAATGACACAAATGGATCAATCAACTGGAATAAATCCAGCTCATTATGAGTGAAATTAACGGCAATTTTACTAAATCTATCAGCAGCAGTATACCGAACTCTCCAACTATCATCTTTGATCAATTTCAATGCACTCGACAAGAAATCGGAATTGAAACTATACTCGTGAATCTTTTGGAAAAATTCCAATATTGAAATCAAAACATCAACACTGAGAAATTTTACCGAATCTTGGTCATCATTAATCAAATGTTGAAACATTTTGGAAATGATTTCCCAATCTTCATTATTGACCTTGTTGACATCATTGGGAGATTCTTCAGTGAATTTAGTCAATAAATCAATCAAATGGGGCAAGTTTGTCGCAGCTGCCCTTCTAACCATGGGATAATCATCAGTAACCAATTTCAAATAATTCTTCAACAATTCCTTACGAGTGTTGGCATCAACTCGAATAATCACCGCCTTGTATAACCCACAAGAGGCAATCTTTTTCAGAAACCAGTTGCCTTGACTCAAACTAGTGATTAATCCAAGAAAGATATTGTTTATTTCATCTTGATTCAATTCCTTACTAATTGTGTTTAACGATTCAATGGCTTTATCTCTAACCAAAGGCTCTTCCATCGACGCCAATATAGTCAATATATTGATCAATGGTTCACAGTATTCGTGGCCACCAATTAATGGTATAAATTCACCCAATTTAGCGCCCAATACCGTGAACACTTCTTCTTCATCATCCTGAGCAACGTCATGCAAAAACGGCAACAATTCCTTACGTGTTCTCTCGGGTCCCAATGCAATGGCAATTGTGTCTAGTTTCTGCATTGCTTCAACCCTATTGGAAACATCGTCATGTTTCAATTCGTCCATTAATAACGCGAGGGGGTGTAAATCTTCCATGATTGAAATGTATGTGTGGGTAGATGTATGTGCTGTTGTACGGAAAAAAAATAATTAATCGATTAATGGGAAATTGCAGTAATATGATCACTGTAGTTGGATGTGATGGATGTGGTGGATATGTATGTATGTATGTATCTCTAGTTTTGAGTTGATGTGATATGAATACTGTAGTCTATATGTATTTTTACTTTCTATTTTTTTTTTAACTTTTCGTCGTTAGAGGTGGTGGGTTGACTCTCTCTCTCTCTCTCTTGATAAATTTTTTTGTTGTTGTTGTTGTTGTCGTTGGTTGTGTCGAATTTAAAATTGTAAAGAAAATATTTACGTCATTGTCTCACCAGTAGAGAGAAATATCAACTAAAACAACTACGAGGGGTTATGTAAATGAAAACTATGAAGTTCGATGGCACCTACTTCTTAAAGCTATATCTATGACTATGTCTTAGTTTGTGGCTGATGGAGAGGGCGAGGGGGGGGGGGGGGGTACAGCGTTTTCACTGTCGTTGCCATCGTTTGTCGCAACCAATCTGTAAATGCCGCACGACCTTTTCTAGACCTTAAAATGTACTGACTATGCTGTTGAGTATAGACCTTCTGATTTTGTTGAGGCTCAATTTATAAGACATTGTTGACCGTTTCTTCAATTTGGATCATTCTGAGTCTATTCTAGTCTATAATTCAGTCATTGTCAGAAATTCAAACGGAAAATAATCTCTCATAACTAGTAGGAAAGTTTGTGTGCCCAGCAAAGCGGAATTCTATTATTAAATGAACATGAACTAAGTTAACCTTCTTTTTTCCCTTTAACCTCAAATATAGTCCTCCCCAGGACCGTTAACATTCCTGTTTGAAATGTTGCAAAAAAGAAGAGAAACCGATTTCAAGTCTCAATTTCAATCCTATTGACACAAAACTCGTCTAAATTTTTTTTAGAATTTGTCAACATTTCACTCCACGTTTTGTTTTCATGGACCAGTCCACTCCAGCACATACATTAAGCCGATATATACCATGCCAGCAGCCCCTACCGAATTAGACATTATCGACTCGCAAGTATCGCCTCAAGTTCGTGCCGCTTACAATTTAAAACTTGCACAATTTCAACACAGTGCCAAATCGTACTGGCAATTCTCCATTGTCCCCAACAAGTTTGTCCAATCGTTAAAAGACACAAACGACACCACATTTAACTACCTTGACGAACATTTTGGTAAAATTGGTGAATGGGATGACTTGGTGGGAGAGCTACGTCAATTGAATCAAGAAGCCGATGACGAAACGCAGTACAAGATTTTATTTTTGGCGCGTCATTACACGGGATATCACAATGTGGCCCATGCCAAGTATGGAGACGATGCATGGAACAACCACTGGTCGAAATTGAATGGCGACGATGAGTACACATGGGGACCTGATGCGGAGTTGATTCCTGAGCTGGTTGAATTGGCGAAAAATAATAGTCAATTAGTAGCTAAAGAGTTGGAAAATAATCGTCATCATGATAAATCATTGATTTTGCTACAAAAGATGTATGTGTCGCCATTAAGTCGATCAGTTGATACATTGTATTACACATGGAGCCCTATTGTCAATTTACGCCAGTTGCGGCCGTATATTCAGGAAAATTGGCGTGAGACAACTGGTGTACACACGTGCGATAAACGGTCAACTAAAACCATAATTGCTAACAAGTACACCAAATTGGGGTTTGTTATTGAACCGGGATTCACTGAACAAGATGAATTGTATCGCGATGATTATCGTGAACTGTTTGATGAACAGGCGGCAAGGATGAATATCGCACTTCAGCAGTTGTTCTCCGAGAATCATGGCAATGGCGTTGACATTGTGGGCATTACTAGTCATTCGGGTAGTATCAAGACGCAGTTGATGGTGTTGGGACACCGACCATTTGCTGTGCAAACTGGTGGAATGATTCCTGTGTTTGTGAAAGCAGTTAGGCACAAGGGCGGTTCTTCAAGTGGAGCAAGTGAGGAGAAGTTGTAGACTAATAAATATAGAAGAAATACATGAATGAGTGAATGAATGGAGCGTGCAGATTATGAAAACTTGGGTAACAGTAGAGAACGTGCTCTGGTATAGGAAGGCAAGCTGCGAAATAAAGTAAGCTGTGCAAATTTAGCCATCCTTTTTAGAGAGCTAGATGACTTTGAAGTTGGACTGGATCGAGTTCCAGATGATGATGGCTTTATTTTGTATGACTAAAAGAAAGCCGATTTTGGTTAAACTTTCCCCATACAATGTTGTGTTTCAGAAACTGAAAAGGGTATTAAGAATCTCTCGGCTAGATATTTAAGGCACCGCTTGTTTTTTGTGGACCCTTTCGCGTTTTTAGGTCTTCACGCCCTCTCATCTATGCTGAAGTCCACAAAATGACAAAGCAACCGCGGTGGTCCACTTATCCCCTGTACTCCGAGTTACAAGAATTAGGAAATTTACTTTGTTTTTGTTTAGGGTAGGAAGGGCGAGATAAATTATTTACCGTGGGTGTGTATTAACAACAGGTGGTTATGTTACTTATTTTTTTGTATGTTTTCTAGAGCATCAAGACAATGTAGGTTACAACAAAAGGGGAAGAAATAGGAGTAAGAGAAAAGGGGAGAGGTGTTTGAATAGTTGGAAAAGTCAACGGTAACTAAAAAAAAATCAAAAGGCATTTGGCCTAGTGGCGTTTTTGTTTGTTTATTTGTGTGTGCATTTATTGTCTTGATGAAATATCCTAAACTGGAAGTTGCAAAATAGACTATGGGGTAGGGGTACGAGGTCTAGAACGTATTACACACCTTTTGTCAGTGGGTTTAAGGTGTCACGGTTAGGAATCTATGGCGGGAAAAAGAAGATGAGGAAAGGCGATATGGGGGTGTAAATTTCATATGTGCACTTGCTTAATTCTCTATGATATATCCGCAACCGTTTTTGTTTTACTTTGACAAGTGTTTTCGAAAAGCCCTTTTGCATATGGTTTGAACTGGTACAGCCTTAGGGGATATAAGAAGTCCTATCCAAAGTTGAATGCCAACCGAGGAAGGAAGAGGAAGTTTCCATAAATTTTGGAAATGACAGTTACTGGAAAATGAAAATAGAGGGAGTTGTATTGTCTGAGTCCCATTATTGTTAAAGCAACATTGATCTCTTTCTTCACCATTTAGGTCAATTTCAACAAACAAATGTCAACGTCAAACCTTCAAATTCGACTTTAGCTAAAAATGGAATATATAAAATAGAAGGAATAGAAAAATAAAATGAATTGCGCCCTCGGTTCCCATTCTGACGATATTCTCTTTTCTTTCCTTTTCCTGCAAGAGAGAGGGGTAGAGGAGGGCCACGTGGGTGGAAAAATTAAATTTTTGTTTTTTTTTTTTAATTAATTTTATTTAAATTATTTTGACTCTTATTGTGTTATTGTGTTATTATAGTCTTCACATACAGAGACTGAGGGAAAGTTTTGGTCAAAAACAACAGCGCAATTAAATAAAATGACACCTTTAAGATAGAAAAAATAAGGGATAAAAGAGTTATCGTAGTTAATCAATTTGATATATACACCGCTCAGTCGTTTCTTTCCTCATTTCTTCAGTTAGACGCAACAACTAGAGCGGTATTTAAATTTTTTTGAAACTGTGAATGAACTAAGAGCATCTCACTCATTTTAAATCAGTGGCTTACCCTTGAAGTGTTGTTTAGAAACGGTAATGCTTTCAAGTAAGCTAAACGGAATTTGTGTCAATAAAAACAAACAACAATAAAAGAAAGAATGAGAAAGAGGAGAATTGCCAATTTAGACTACGCTACATTTAAAGGTCACACGACCATAAGAGGTTGAGGAGGGAAAGGAGTAAGAGGTCACACGATATTTAGGTGCAACTCCAACATTATCCATTATCCATTGTCAAATGTTTTATTGTTTCATTTAAGGTTTGAAATTCTTCAACAGTGAAGCAACAAAGGTCAAAGAATAAGAAGTAGAGCATAATGCGTAAGGTTAAGTTTAAGTTGTTGCCATGGTTAAGGTTGTGGTTGCTGTTGTTGAGTTTGTTGTCGCGTGAGGTTTCTCTCTCTCTAACCCTTTACTGGTGACTTCTTTTTCTTCATCAGACTGTGGAGTCTCTTCTCTTCTATCTCTATTGTTATTGTTTGTTGAAAGTGAGATTTGCAGTTGCAGCTAATAATTACACAAACTAACCTTGAATATGTAACAATACTTTATTGCACATTCTTTTTCTACTTCTTTTTTATCTAAATGCATATGCATATATGCACTAAAGTGCCTTCTTTTTTTCTTTTTGTATTTGTTATTTTTAGATTATATGGGGGCTTTAAACAATTGTTGCAATCTATAAAGGAGATAGTAAAGACAAGCACACATAAGCACTTCTGAAAGAAAGAAAAACTCTTTTTTTTAGAAGAATGAGTATAGTGAGACGTAGGGAGTAAGGAATGATGCAAAGGTTAGTAATTGTAAATGTAGAACAGGGTGTTGATGGGGAGAGGGGACTTGAAAGTTTAGAGAGAGAGTGTTTTTTTTCTTATCAAAGACTCCCTCTGAAGAGAATGAAAGGAACGGTCGCGTGCGTTTGAGAAATTATTGATTATTGATTTTACGACAAATAAGCTTTTTTTTATTTTTTTGCCTTTTTGAAGAAGACCAACTAAGCTCTTTCTTTTACTGCTTTGTTTGTTTGTTTTGGCTTTATGCCCAGCGGTTAGTTTATTATTCTCAGGATTGTCAAACTTTAAACCGTTTCATTTTTCTCTTTTCTTTTTCTATTTCCTACTACTGAAGATCAGTTGTACGCTAATCACATGTTGCTCGCAAAGAGGTCTACGAAGATGGAGAGTAAAGGCCCTTTCTTTTAGGATGCAGAGCACTGTCCACACAGGTTATGGACGACTTGAATTTTAAGCACAAACACCGGGTCCTGTTAACATATATGTATATATATATGTGTATATATATACATGTCTCAGGCGGCTAAATTAAGAAAGACGTTCTATTGAAAATATAATAATAATCACTGTTGCTATTATTATTATTATTATTATTATATTCACAGTATAAGATGTTTTACAGTTCATGGGGAGACGTAGGCGCCAGCCGTTAGCATGCGATGCATCGTAATGCAATACGACGCCATCACTCACTTTGCCACAAAGCTAATTTTGCTGAATGTAACTACTGTTTAATGTAAGTTTTGAAAAGTAGTGGTGGCAATGAAGTTTAATTTTGAAGCTATGATGGTTAATTCTAGAGAGTGTATATATTGGGGGTGAATTTTTATTTTTAGGCTTTCATGTTACATTTTGAAATTTTACAGTTTAAAGTTTGAATGTTTTGGAAGGTGTTTCTATTCAGAAGATTAGGTAATTGTAGTTCCTATTCTAGAAGCTGGCAAATGGAATTCTCAATTTTGTCTATTTTGCTCAGTAGTTAGGTGTAGTCAGGTATATACATCTTCTTTTGCGGGTGTAATAAAACTGTTGAATTAAACTGTGCGTAAATAGATTACAGCTTAAGTCGGTATAGATGTATGTATGTATCTCATCACCCATCAACATCGGCATCATCGTTTTTTGACAGGTTTAGTATATATGTTTAGAGATAAATGCATATATAAACACATAGTGCGTATGGATATGAATATATGCAGGACTTCGTAAAAAATAAAATATTTATGCAACAAAAATAAATTAAATTGAAAAAAAAATAAAAAAATAAAAAAATAAAGAGATCGATAAAACAGAGCCATACATACATAATACATACTACACAAAGACCAAACAATCAAATAGCAACAAACAGTAAACCACTCCTACTCTTATTGCTAGTGAATATGAAAGTAGAGCATCATAGTACGTATATATATATACAGATGATCACTTCCTGGAGAAGAAGGATCAAGATAATGAAGGCTGAGTTTAGTTTAGTTTAGTTTAGTTTATGGTTAGTTTTTTAGTAAAGCGTTACGGGTAGTGTACTTTTGGAAAAAATGATATTTCTTTTTCTCTTCTTCTGATAATGTCTTTTTTTGTCACTTTCGCCTGTGCGTCTTAATAATTTTCTATTGTTGATTATTACATTATTGTTACTTTTATAAATATTGATAGCTGTAGTCCTTACAAAGTAGTAGTTATAGTCTTGTGACTTGTTAACTAAAACAGATTAAACCTTTTTTAGTAATAGGACTGACGTTCACAAAATACTAATGAGTTTCACTTTACTACTATAACAACAGTAGTGGACTTTGTCTTCATGTTTGATACTAACAAATTAACTGTACACTCTATGATACAACTACTACGTCTATACCAAAAGAAATAGCCACAACTCCATATAGCTTTCTCTCCAATCCTTTTTTTCTTTTTCGTCGTCAAAATCGTTCGTACTAGTTTTTGTTCCTGGCGTTCATTTCGTTTCGTTTCGCTGAATGTCTGTGTTTGTGTAATTATTAACTTTTAAAATAAATTTAAAAAATAAATTGGTTGTTTTTGTTCTTTTGAACATGTTTACACTACCCTTTCATCCCATTGTTTTTTTTTTTGTTTTGAAAGAAAACAATTTTAATCAATTTAAATCTAAACCCACAAAGAAGAAGAAGTATCATTGTAACAAGCCAATTTTTATATATATATATGTAGATATATTCCCCCTACATCAACATGTAGATATATATATCTATTTATCTATCTATCAACTTCACTCCCTATATATATATATATATATATACTAGTACTATTATCTAGTAACAACCATACCTTTTTACTTACGACTTTTACATCCTACATCATATCGCATTAGAATATTCTTTTTTTATAAGAAAAGCATTGTGGCGATCAACTTCCAGCCAAAAGATTTACAAACAGACAGACAACAACAACACACCACGCCACTTTTACTGTTACTCTACTCCAACTACAAAACATTTCATTTTTTTGCATTTTAATTCCTTCTTTTCATAACTTTCATCACTTTTGCATTCAATTTATTCTATTCCAAGGGGAGAAAACATTTACTACGCTAGTACTATCAAGCACAGTTATAACCACTAAAGACAATAACAGATCTTAATAGTCTGACCATTTCTCCTAAGAACAATATCTGCTTTACCGTACGTTTTGTTTTATGACTTTACAACTTTAACAACCAGATACGAAACAATACTGGGACAACCAAAGATTATCACAGACAATCAAAAAGACACACAGCATAAGACCACTACAATAAGCTTCCATTTCCCAATAGATGAAATTTGGCAACAATTTACAACATCTATCGGTACCCGAATGGAAAAGCTACAACATAGATTACAATGACTTAAAGTATAAAATCAAACAAATCACCAAACAAGATACGCAAGACCTTTCCCTTTTACAATCAGCCTTTATTGAGAATATTGATTATGTCAATTTGTTTATACAAACAAAATATGGAGAGTTGAATCGGAAGTTTGCCTACCTTGAATCCATATTCAACAATTTACTACACTTGAAAGATGAAATAAATGATTATGATTCACTACGGTCATTTCTTATTGAAATTGATGAATTATTCTATCAAGCACTTGAATTATCAATCATTTTGAAAAACTTGTCTAAATTCATTTTGATTCAAAAGATTGCCATCAAAAAAATATTCAAGAAATTCCTTAAGTATTATCAGTATAAAAAAATTGGTACCAAATTTGTTGTTGATTTAAAAGACAATCTCCTAATCAAGAACCCCAAATCATTTATCAATTTTGATTTAACTAAATTGACTTTGAAATTGACAAATTTGATCAATTTGATCAAATATGAACGCAAAGTTGTTGAATGTTTTAATGGTGACTTGCATCGTAAAAACTCGTTATTTTCAATAGCTTCATCATTGAATACTGCATCTGATTATCAAAATTCAATTCTCAATAACCACCAGGCAGCAACTGCAACTGCAACTGCAACTACAACACAGCTAATCCCTAATAAAAATGGTACTTTTGCTACCACCACTGCCACTGGCACTACTAATTCATCACCAAATACTGCAACCACAGTCACCATCAACACCAACACCAACACCAACGCCTCAACCAATTTCTACAACTCCAACCCTCAACAGTTTCCAACATCACCTGAGGCACACTTTGATTTGACTGTACTACTAAAACGTAACTTTCAATGCCATTGTCTAGTACCGGCCGACTTGACTAACGACATGATCCTCAATTTCAATGTCTATCTTAATCTTAAATGCATTGAAGATAACATTATATCTGCCATTTACTTGAACCAAGATTTGTTGAAAGAACCCGCCATTATTTTATCGAGTGACACTAGTCAACTGTCGATTGTGTTGGCTCCAACGGGTGGATTGAGAAAAAACTCTTATTGCATTTTGCCTAACGAAATTGTTGAAGTGTTTTTAGCACATTTACAAGATAGATCTAATGAAGAGTACAAGACTCGATTGTATGATTACTTTCAAGACTCAAGTCAATTGACGAAAAAAACCATCAATTACATCGTTGCTAATGATTACTTACCCGTATCAAGAACATTTTGTCAACGATCAAGATTCAGAATAGATAAACATAGTGGCGAATTGAATGGCGGTAATAATAATGAGATCCTCATTGATCAAACGGGATCGTCTACTTTGCATCAACCATCTCAACAACAACAACAGCAGCAACAACAACCACCACCGCCACCACCACTCGACGAAAATGACTATTACATCACATTGGAAAGTAACGTGTCCACCACTAATAAACCCAAACACATAAATACTGTTGTATTTCCTGAAGATTTTAATGAAATGGACTGCTTTCCTCACGGTCACCTTGGTATATATTCCAATGATTTAAACTTGTCAGAATTTGAATCGTCATTAGTGACTGAGGTCGATTCTCAAACAGGTGTGTTGCGAAACAAGCATTCCCCTTCATTTGCTCGTCGTTTTCCCAAGAAACTACAAATGATTCTTCAAAATAATGCCGTATCTTTATACAAGGGGTTCAATTTTTATCAATATCAAATATCGTGCTATTATAATATCGTCCCCAATGGAGAATTTATAAACAATCATTATACGAATTTGCTCAATTTAAACTTGTTGAAGGAATTTGAAAATATCGATGCTTGTAATCAACAATTGAATCAAGAAGAGGATTTGATTCGAGCCAAATCAGATAATATAATGAAGCATAAAATGTCGATACAAAATTTGCAACAACAGGATCAAGTGATTCAACAACAAGACCAACAACAGAAGCGACGCATTCAGTCGTATTTACATCATCAACATCCTCAAAATAGTTTTGGATCAAGCATATTTGAAAATGTGATACGTGATTCTGGTAGTTTATCACTTCATGAGGCGAATTTAAGTGATGCTGATGTCGTTGTGGATGTAGTTGGTGCTGATAACGATGCGGATGATGAAGTTATGGATCTACAAAATAACCAAGTGACTAACTTCCTAGTTTCAATTCTCAATCTAAAAAATAAATTCCTCAACCAGGGTGAAACCGACTCGTTAAAGCTGAAACCAAACCATCATCATAAAAGACAACATTTCATTAACGAAAATCCATATTATTTTGCTGAAGATGCCGTTCACGATGAGCACGAACATTTGCTTGATCCATATACCAAGCTCCTCTCAATATACCACGGCAACAAAAATGGTAACAACAATCCTTATGACGCCATCAATCTCAATTATTCAACTTATGATTCCATCAATGAAGAACCAATGTCGTTTTTCCAACGTAATGAATACCAATTGAAATATGAATCCAACTATGATCAAACATTATCTTACATTTACTTGACCTTGACGATAATCTCCCTTTTCTTATGTGGAATCCAATTGGGCACCATATACTCGATATTCTCCAGTATCGGCAATATCGAAGACTCCAAGTTTCTTATTCGTGATAACTTGGGCATTTTCGTTGTGTTGGTGCTAGGCATGATTATTTCAGTGGGGTTCAATTTGTTGGCGATTAATCTCTTGTGGTTTCGGTATAGTGACCCTGTCAAGTTTCACAACTTTGCTGTGAGTGGTGCGTTGGTTATTAATTTGGTGGGGTGTGTTTGGAGTTGCGCTTTGTTGTTGCATTGTTTCTAAGGAAACAGAAGGAGGTAGTCATGTCATTTGAGGTTTGACTCTTTATTTACTGTCGTTTTTTTACACTTTTGCATGTTTTTGTGATAGATTTAGCGGCTGGGTGTGCTTACCATTATTAATTTTTTTATGTATAAGTATTTGAGTTTAGTGTTTTTAATTCTACAGAGAAATTTGCATTGTTTTTAAAAAAAGAAGTACATAGAATAGGGGAGGGGGCGGAGTTGTAAGTAGACTAGGATGTTTAGATAAATATGGGGTAATGGGTTCTGGAGAGGGGAGGTTTGAAAAAAAAAAGTATCTCCCGGGGGCGAGTCGAACGCCCGATCCCAAGATTACAAAATCTGGAAATATTTACAGTCTTGTGCTTTAAACCAACTAAGCTACCAGGAGTATTTCACGTGAAAGAATGGCTTTGGGTAACCCAGAGAAGTCAAAACTGAGCACGTTGACCAGTTTTTTGTAACTTAACTCCAGATGTTCTTTTGGCGGTTGTTGTTGTCGTTTTCTTGCTGAGGTTCAACACAAAATATACTGTTATTCTTTTTTGTTGTTACGATTATGTGAGAGAGTTACGTAAAACGAAAAGGCGTTACAGGACTACAATCGGAGATGTAGAGGGACACCTGTTTCATAGCGTTTGAAGATTATGTATTCTTCTATGCTTTTGAAAATGCAATCATTGGTTAAAGTACATAGTATTTTGAAAGAACCACTATATGGGATTTGATTTAGGTCAGTCACTGGGGAACATTGATCAAGATTGGGATGGCAATCGATGCATCTATGTTTGTCATTAAGATTTGCTTAATTATTAGATTGGGGTTTTTTGATGTGTCATAAAATTTGTTTTAAATGGTTATTAGTTGCAAATATTGCAAGCCCTATTGAGTTGTCCACTCTTTCGTGTACCATAGTGATTGGTCTATGAGCAGCTTACATCGATTGAGCACACTTGTAGACCCTTCTCGTCATGACTGCAACAGTGTCTCCCCATCCGTTTATTGATTCAGAGCCAAGGTTCACTATATTCACTGGTTTATTGTATTATAATCATATTATTACAAAAATCTACTTCAAGTTTCGTCTTTTGTTGATAAATGATAGACTGTTGCTGTTGTTGTTGCTATAGTATAAATCATTTTCAATCAACTTATTATTCCCTTGATAAAAGATCTTGAAACAATTGCCGAAATTGACAAGAATCGATTTGAATCCGTATTTGGAAGTTGATACAATATGGACATTGGATTGCAAATGTAAGGGATAGGTAGTCTTTTTGCCATCACTTAACGAAATGATAACTCCTTCATATGACTCATTTGCAGTAACAGTTGCCTTGGTGTTTCGTTGACGTAGTGAAGTGAGTCCTTGATTTTCGAAAACTGCCGAAGACGAGTTTGTCTTTATCGATGATGTCTTGTCTTGACAACGGACTTTCTCAAACCCTATGATCATATTTACGTCACTCACTTGCCAACACTTTATATCCTCATACCAATATTGGCTCTCACAAACAGCACTGAAACCAAGACATCTGATTTCTCGCGGATCTCTTTCTGCACGAAGACATATACTATTTTTTGACCTTTGCATGTCAATTTTGAAGGTGTGGACGATCAAAATTCCCGAATCATCCTCATATATCAAAGACAATGAAGTGACTGATACACAACCACAGAATTTACAGTGTGTTGGCTGTGAATGGGCCACCTTAAATGTACCTGGTTTAAAGTGTCCAATGTTGAACGTTTTCAACACAATCCCAGTCTGCACATCTATCAAGCTGGCAGTGAAGTCACAAACAGATACAATCATACCAATAAATTCAATTGCAACAATGGTAGGAGTGTTGAGCTTGCGCGATGGGGTCATTGTTGTAACTGCATATGTCCCATGGGTGAATATTTTAATGGGGAAATCATGAAACACAAAATTGTTATTAACAACGATTCCAATGATGAATTCTCCGGTGGATTTCTGGCAAATTATCTTGTCATTAACCCTCGGCGTCTTGACTTTGGCAGCAGCAGAAAGTGGTTCAAATTCTTGGACATTCAAAGAACCATCATCACCAGAGGCAACCAACACCGTACCATTGTTGAGCACGAGCACAAAGTCTTCAGGTATATGCTCACGTTTCACTTTTAAAGATGACTTGGCTTGTGTTGAAGGAGAAGGTGGGGAGACAAACGGCGTTGGTTGACTAGTGGATAATATGGGAGAATCGGGACATCGGATGATTGTGCTTTGGGGCTCAGATGCCAACGACGTCGAGCTTCCGCGTTTAGCTCTTAGCAACTTTCTGGCTAAATATCCCGGTACCGTCCTATGCCTAAAGAATGACCCCATAACTTTTGCATCCCGATTGATGCTGGGATGTGTTTGTGTCCATTTTAATTCAAAATCTTCATAACAGTAGATGGATTGCTTGTTGAAACAGATTAGGATGATATAGACTCCGTCATCACTAATGGAAATGTGATTTACTGGCCATATATTGGATGCTAGGACATGCTTTTCACTCGAACTCGGTATCCAAGCAGTCACCGTGTGGTTCAATTCAAATGATACAACTATTGGACAACTAGGGTTGGTGAACACATTTAGTATATCTGTTGATTGGAGACTCAGTAGTTCAATAGAGTTTAATTTCTCTTTCTCGGGACTGATATGGTTGTTGCGGTTGTCTGATTGAGATTTCAAGTTGAGGCAAATTAATATGATGGATGCTATGAATACAATGGATAGAATTGCTTCCACGTAGAACAAATTGATAAACGAATTGTCTAGCGGAATCATATTATAATCATTGCGTTATTTATCGACTGTGGTTATGCTTTAGCAAGGGGGTGGGGTGTTGGACTATGCTATGCTATGCTGTGCTATATGTGTGGTTGTATATATCCTCGGTGATTTCCTCTCGTTTAGATCTACTCTCCTTTGAATTTTTTTTTTAAGGTTAATCTTTTGTTATATTTTTTATTTTGGTTGTTGGTTTAGAAAGGTCATTAGATCTCACTAGAGATAATCTTATTTTACTCCTACACAGTCTACACAAAAGATACAATTCAAAAGAAAAGGTACAGTATCTCTATAATCTATTTATATATATATATATATGTATATAAATATACTCTTTAATCATCGAAATTGTTGAATCCAGGATTACAAGTTCTAACAACACCGTCTTTCTCAGAAAGCTTGTTCAAGGTTTCAAAATCTTCCTTACTCAAAGTGAATGTCTTGATGTTTGAGATGATTCTTGAATCAGTAACCGACTTTGGCAAAACGACAGTGTCCCTTTGCACTGTCCATGAGACCAAAACTTGAGCTGGTTCAACACCATTCTTTTCAGCAATGTCGGTGATTGCCTTGTTCTTAAATAATGGGGATTCACTTGAACCCAATGGCGAATAAGCTTCCAAAACAATATTCTTTGCCTTCAAGTAGTCGTACAATTCTGGTTGAGTCAACAATGGGTGAGCTTCAACTTGGTTGGCAGCAGGCACAACGTCCACACCATCAGCATTCAAAAGCTTTTCCAATTTCTTTACAGTAAAGTTGGAAACACCAATTGCTTTGACCTTTTTACCTTCTTTGTAGATCTTTTGCAAAGTCTTCCAAGTGTCAACAAAGTCGTGGTCTGAGTATGGTTTATCAGTTTCTGGGTCAGTGGAAACGGGCCAGTGGATCAAGTACAAATCGACGTAATCAAGACCCAATTTCTTCAACGATTCATCCAAAGCTGCTTCAACATCCTTGTGCTTCTTGTTCCACAACTTGGTGGTGACAAACAATTCGCTTCTTGGGATTCCAGCTGCAGCAATTCCTCTTCCTACTTCTTCTTCATTTCCGTAGATAGCAGCAGTGTCGATGTGTCTGTAGCCATTCTTCAAGGCGGTCAAGACAGAGTTGTAGGCAGCATCTTTTTCGCTAGCACGCCACGTGCCCAAACCAACGGCTGGGATCTTGGCGCCTGTGTTTAAAGTGAATTCGGCAGTATTAACTTTCAATTGAGCTGACATTGTGTGCAATTGTTTCTTCAATGGCAAGTTCGATAATGGTGAGAAGTGTTTGGGTTCAATGGCAAGGGAAAATTGAGCGACTATTTATATTAGTTTTAGTATTATTGCTAAACTGGTCTTTTGGTCGTCTGCTTATTGTGACAAATTTGACAGACAAAAAAAGAAACGTCGAGAAAAGTAAAAGTCTGACGCCACACAAATCGGAAAGATATAAGAAGTGTATGAGTCGGTGGTACTCCGAGTGGCATACGACGCACAGAAAAATTACCATAAAGGGTTTGTTTTAAAACTTTTGTACACAACATATGACATCATAGCGCCTTGGAAATATATACCTATTGTTATTATGACTAATCACACAGCAACATCGACGGAAGACCGTAGCAGTTGTGATACAATAGATGTTTGGGATTACGGCTGAGTAGTTCATATATTCAGATGTGATTGTCAAAAGAGAATATACACGAATCATACATTATATACAAGTCCCATACATAGCACAAACCTCTATTCTAGGAGTTCAGTAAGAGGACAATTGACTCTGGTATTGAAGACTTCTCTCTCTTCCCCTCCCTGCACACTCCCCCCACGGAAACTCTTTTTGAGCCTCAATCATTCCTAGTGTCGTGTGAATGTCGCAAAATGAAATATTTGGATGGAAGAAAAAATAAAAAAAAAATACATAAAAAAATTGAAATTCCAACAATCGAGTCAAATTCAAGGAGCTCTAGAATGGAATCAGTTCTTAATACAACCTTAGGTGCACGTTTGAGTGCCTACTTGGTTACTGCGGATGATTTCAAAAGACAAAGGACTAGAGTCAACAAAAGAATCCTTAAACTACGTCGTGATTTAAACTTGGTTACGAAAGATACCAAAAACTACAGTGCAAAGGAACAAACATCGAAGATTACCCCTCAACAGTATGACGAAAACAAGGAATATGGATTGATTGAGCTACTTCTAGCTGAGAGAGATATGCTCTATGCTAGCGAGATCAAAGCCAAATTGGATATAAATAGCGAAACGTCGTCATCATACACTACTTTGTTGAAAACAAAGACAAAGAGAGCATTGTTCCACGTTGATAACTTGATAAAATTAACCACTGGCGAGTCGAATGACAAAATTCGTATCGAGGTTTACATATACGCGGCATTGGTGGCTGGTCAATTGTCAATAACTAGGAAGCAGTGGCTGAAAGCATTGAATGCCTTTTCAATAGCAAAATGCAGTTTGGACTACTTAAATGCACAAGACAGCGATAAGGAGTCTTTCAACAAGACATTGTGTAATGAACTACTTGAAAATACAGTTGATCCTTCGTTGAACTTGGCAGCTTCGCAGTTGGACAACTTGCCGTCAACTGATTTAAAGACTTTGTCGAGGAAATATTGCCATGAAAATGCGTTCCCCGAAATTTCGCCTGTTCTCAACTTGATTGATTCACAATTCACCAAAGATATTTCTTCCTCGGTAAAGTTGCAGAAAGAAGTTGATTGGAGAGGCCATGTTGCCACTATTTACAATGACGAACTCGCATTCAAGATCCAAGAGTTGACAAGTAATAAAGAATGGTTGCAATACAACGACGCTAACCAGTTTGACGATGTAATTGCGTCTTGGATCAGCATATTAGAATTGCATAAAGAGGATACTCAGAAGAACCAAGATGATGATGATATGGAAAAAGTTCAAGATAGGGCAATTTTATTAACCTATATAAACTATAATTTGCTATTTACAAAACTCAAGAGAGACTTGCTATTGGTAGGACAATTAGTAGCTCAAAAAAATGTCGAGAATAGCAAGGACATCGTTAGAATCTATCTGGGCATTATCAGTATTGTCGACGAGTTGAAAGAGCTCCCTGGTGTTTACAACGACGAAGACTTGCATTATTCGTTAGAGCATTTGGAGGGATTCTTCCAAGGTCAAAAGAATGTTGTTATTGCAGAATCATATCAATTCAACAACAAATTTGCCGAGAGTTTAAAAATTTACAACTTTGTCAACCAGCAATTGCCAGCTTCCCATGACTATTATAAAGTTCAATTTCCATTCGATGTTAGTACCAACTCAGAAGTTGCTCTTTTTAAGGCACATTTGGAAAAGAAGGTTTTGCAAGCACAGGTTAGTGCGCAGTTTGAACAAGGCAAAAGAGCAGCTTGTTCGAAATATACTATTGAAGATATGAAGAAATTTCCTAATGGTTTAAGCGTAATTAATCTTGATAAGATTGAACCAGTAATGTGTAAACCGGTTTTGTTTGATCTTGCATTTAATTACATTTCGATTGGTGCTGAATCGGCACAACCTGTTCAAGCACCACCTTCGAGTAGTGAAGCCAACACTGAAGACACAAAGAAGCGTGGATTCTTCGGCATGTTTGGCGGACGTAATTAGTAACTGTTGTATATATATATATATGTAACCAATGGAAATAATAAGTAGTTTTGATGACTTGTCAGAATTCGCTCTGAACCGCGTTGCAGCTGAGCTGAGAAAACGTTAGTTCAAAAAATTTCCAAAACCGAATCAAAGTCAACACTTTCGTTTCTCACAACACTTATGAAGAAGGAGGGCCTGGCATTGTCATTAGCGATATGTGTTTTCGGACTCTATAGCACATTCCTCACTTGGTCCATCTTGCAAGAGCGTATCAATACTACACCATACGGTAATAATGAATATTTCCGAGCACCACTAATTATAAATATTGTTCAAGCATTACTTGCCTCGATAGTGGGATTGATATACACGACAGTCACCTCAAAATCCTCACCATTTGATGTGTTTACGCAAAATGGGAACCAGGGATGGCAAGTATTTAAGTCACTAATTTTAATATCAATTTGTTCAAGTATTGCATCTCCGGTAGGGTATAAATCGTTGGCCCATTTGGATTATTTGGCATATTTATTGGCCAAATCATGCAAGTTAATACCAGTAATGTTAGTGCATTTCACATTATACAAGACTAGGTTCCCGTTATTTAAATACGTTGTTGCACTGTTGGTGACTTTAGGAGTGACTATTTTCACCTTGGCCCATTCAAAGGGAAGCAAAAAGGTCAATGATGGAAATACGGCACTAGGACTAGCTTACTTGATAGGAAGTATGTTGCTTGATGGATTGACTAACTCTACACAAGACCAGTTGTTTAAGATTCCGTTGAAGAAGAAGTTTACTGGGGCCAAATTGATGTGTGTTTTGAACTTGTTTATATTTATCCTAACCACAGCATACGTTGTGCTATTTCAAAAATCAGAGATTAGTACCACCTACCAATTCATTCATCAATACCCCGAATTGTTATACGACATTATTGTATTTGCCGGTTGCGGTGCCATTGGACAAGTGTTTATATTCATTATTTTAGAGCATTTTGACTCAATTGTATTAATCACTGCAACGGTGACGAGAAAGATGTTGAGTATGATCCTAAGCGTTTTCTTGTTTGGCCATCATTTGAATATAAGCCAATGGATTGGTGTCGTGTTGGTCTTTGGTGGGATTGGATTTGAGGCTTTTACCAAGTTTCAACAAAAGAGGAAACCTAAAATTGATTAAATGTGGACTCTTTGACAATTGATTCTTGTTATATCACCCATGATTTATGGTTTATCTATAGATTTGTTTACTAAAAACATTTTAACTAAAACTTAGCCCCACTATCTTTAACCGAAACTGCCTACCTTCAGATAGAACAATTGAAACCCAAACTGAAGAGTCCTCTTTTGCGTACTTCTTCCCTATGCATCACTGTATAATTCCATCCAAATATTCCTCAATTTTCTTCTTTATATTCTCCTTCACTTCCGGAGGTACTGATTCCTCTGCTTTCGGCCTAACGTATGCATACAAATCATTCAAGTTTTTCGTCTCCAACTTCTTTTTATCACCACCTTCGTTGAGCCTTTCATTGGCAATCTGCGCCACTTTGTCGTACCATCCACTCTCGTACAATTGTAGTTTGAGTTGTTTATTTATAAGGTCATAGTTTCCTGAGGCAACCAAGTGCTCTTGAATTTTTGATTTAATTTGATCGAGCTCATCTTGTTGAGTCATGTTTGATATAAGGTTGTGTCAACGACGCAGGGGTGAGCTTATACGTGCAAGCTTATAAATGTAAGATTCTATTGTTTCCTATTAGAACAAGAAAATCTTCAATTACCTGGTGGTTTGTTTTCAAATCGAAAACTGTTCAGATTCTATGCGCTTGATCGGGCATTCAATTTGGTTCTGGCGCACATCCGTATTTGTTTCTTTGCGATTCTCTAAAAAGCAAAAAACGAATCACATACAGCTTGTCATATGCTTAGAACTATATTCAAACGAGCAATGTCAACAAAAGCATCCCCATATAAGGCCAAAGTCACCGCAGTTGAACCTTTGCAACAAGGCAAATGGATACAAACCAGGAAAATAGAATATAATGACCCCGACGGGAAACCCAAGCAGTGGGAAATGGCAGTAAGAACAACCAGATCAGACACCACCAATGTCGACGCTGTATCTATCGTCTCAGTCCTTCATCATGAAGACAAAGCTAAAGAATTGGTGTTGGTTAAGCAGTTTCGTCCACCTTGTGAAAAGGTTTTGATTGAAATGCCTGCTGGTTTAGTTGATCCCAAGGAGTCGATAGAAACAACTGCAGTCAGAGAATTGCTTGAGGAGACAGGGTACCATGGCACGTTCCGCAAACAGTCCCTGGCAATGTTCAGCGACCCCGGTTTGACTAATGCGAATATGGTTTTGGCACACGTGGACATTGACTTGAAAAACCCCAAAAATCAGAATCCAGTACCACAATTGGAAGAAAATGAGTTTATCGTGACATTTACATTGCCGTTGGATAACTTGTTGGAAGAAATAGAAAAGGTTTGCCAAAAGGAAGGCTGCTCTGTTGATGCGAGGTTGTATCATTTTGCCAAAGGTATAGAATTGGCAAAGAGTTTAGGGTTATAATTGGAGGGTTTGGTACAGTTAGAGCATATCAGGTTAACAAAGCTCTAAGAGCTTTTACTTCTTCTTCTTCTACATATGTAGTATTTCTGTTCTCTCAATTTCTAATATATTGGTTTAGTTCCAAAAGTGGGGAGGCGAGAAATATATTTTTGTTTTACTCAACAGAAACCTCTATCCTCCCCTCCCTTCCCCCAGATTTCATACACCTGAGAGTAATACCCAACAGCATGACCAGCACTGACACCTTCAAAACCGCAGAAGTATCTGAATCGTGTTGTTTCTGTCTAGGAACCGATACGGATATCCCTTCGTTTGGTACAATTCAAGATGCGCAAGATATGTTGAAGCCGTGCTCCACCTGCTCCTTAGTTTGCCATAGAAAATGCTTGCTAGATTGGTTCAACACCATTTCGCCTGATAAATTACGCGTTATACATGCCAATGCAGCAAGTGCAAACATGTCGTTAATAAGAAGGATGAATCAAGAACACGCAGGTGATATGGGTATTGGACAGGGAGCAATTGCAAATAGAACAATCAGAATTGATTTGACGGCACTGGCGCTTGAAAGCTGGTTCAACAACATAACCACAAACTTTGCCGCTAATGATGAAAGTACTGATGGGGATGAAAATGGTGGATTAGTCGAAGATAACGATGAACAAGATTTACTTCATGAACATGTGATTGAACGCACCAGCAGCCATGGCGAAGACTCGTTCACCAACAGCAGTAGAGACATTGTGTACATACTAGCCCCATGCCCACAATGTAAGAAATGGATTATGTTCTCCATGAAGAGATCGCTATTACTTACAATCCACTCAACCCTAAAATCGGCCGTCACAAGGGTGATCAAATACGGTACTATCTTCCTTGGAGTTACGTCCGCGCTTACTGGCGTGGTATCAATGGGGTACATTGGATTAACAAGCGTGGGACTAAAAATGATGGATAATATTATCCCAGCGCCGTTGTTGGTGAGAATGTTGACACGAAAATCGTTGCTCAAGTCACAAAGCACGTATTCGTCTTTGTCAAAAATACTATTTGGTAATTCATCTGCATATGCAGTTGACAATTTGGAGCAAGCATTGGTTCAAGGGCTAATTGATCCATTAAAGTTCTCGCGCATACCAGTTTTGCCGCTAGTCATGTACAGGGCAAGATCGTCGTCTATTTTTAGGTTGATTTTTGGTCGTCGTGATGAAGAGTACCCCAGTGCATTAATCACCGAGTTTATGATTAGTGCCTACATCTCATCAATTGGTGATCACTCATTAGTGCGTGCCATATACAGAAATGTCAAATCCGACATTATTAACGGACTCCAACATGGATTCAATTTCAAGACGAATCCATTGAGAAACATTGATTTTCTCTCTACAAACAATATCATATCAATTTTGGTACCTTTGCGTTGGATTTATGATCTACTTTATCGCCTTTCTTTCAACCGTGCCTATTTCAACCTCACTATGCAATCACGACCACGAGCAATCGCAAATAGTCTAAGTGAAGCTGAAATCGATGAATTGGAAGCTTTGAATAGTCAATTGAATGATTTCACCACCAAGCATCGAAAAGTGTATCAACAAATTGATAAACAAATTGATGCAAAATCATCATTAAACATCCCCGTCATTTCATCGTGGCTCAAATTTGCTTACAAACAAATAATCTACTTGCATGCGTTGCGCAAATCGTGGCTTCAACACTTCAGGTTGAAGTTGATTTCGAATGTGAAATTCACATGGGCCTGTCTTCGGTACGATTACTCTACACCATTGGCCAGTAATGGGGCCATTATCAAATCATTAACCACGATTTTCTGGCCATACGTTGCCTCCAAGGTAGCTTTACTCGTTGTTCCCTTGCTTAACAAAAACTTTACTGCCTATGACAAGCTACACATTGATAAAAAGTTGCTTGTTGCCAACATTGTCGGGTTAGTCATTGTTGCTATTGGTAAGGAACTTCCGCTGCTTTATATGACAAGCAAAAAAGTTCAACAAATGTCACACATTGAACTGATTAGGTCACAAGATCGAGCATTTTTTAAAAGTTTGGCAGCGAGTATCTTGCAAGAAGGTCAGAACGACAGTGATGATAGTGTGGCGATAGTGGAAGAAAGTGACGGCTTGATTGATAACCTCACTACCTTACCAGGTAACTTCCCCCAGTAAATGCGTGTGTATGTCACTTACAACTAACTTTAAAATAATACATATCTTTAATTTATACAAAATTGCAAGAAAATACAAAAAATAGTCAAAATTGATACTAAAAATGAGTAAATACGTCTCGAAATCATCCTTCTTTCTTCTATTCATCGTCATAATTCTCGTCCTCCTCTACCTGTCTCATTGGAGGCTCGACATCTTCCTCTTTCTGTGCGTCAGCAGCAGCCGCAGTTTTAACATCTTCATCTTCATCCCCAGCCTTACCCCCTGTAACTTCTGTATCTTCCTTCTTAGAAGTGTCGACAACCGGCTCAGCAGGTTGAGATTCCCCCTTCTTTTCTTCACCATCCTCCACCTTTTTTCCTTCATCATTGCCTTCTGATTTCTTTAATTCCCCTTCATGTTTTTCTTCCTTGGCTGATGTCTCACCGGCATGATGATGATCTTGTTCAACTGGTTTACCATCGCCATCGCGATCATTTTTATCTTTAGTACCAGCGGGTATAGCTCCAGATACTACATCATCGGGGTCATTTGGGTTTTCATCACCACCCTGTTTCTCCTCCTCTTTCCCAGTCACATTGCTTGAAAATCGAGGTACTGCTTGAACTTCAGCAGGTACTGGTGGTACACTAGCAGAGGCAGGGGTTCCAGGATTTGGTTGTTGGACTGAAGCATTAGGGACTTCGGTGCTTGAATGGGAAGACACTACCTTGACCTCTTCTTGTATAGGTTTCGGTGGCTCTTCATTCTTGTTGTCTTGCTTTGATTCGGTATTGGCAGATGCTTTTGGATCTGATACATTCTGCTTTTTTACTGCCTTTTCGGAATCATCCTTATCGTCCAAGTCGTGCTTCCCGTTATTCTGCATAGTGGGAGAGCCTGTTTGACTCTTGCCTGGAGAGGCAACTGCTTCTGCCGATGGAGTCGGAACAGAGGCCAGTCCAGTTGGTGCTGGTTGCGATTCTGGTTTGCTTTCTGCCACTTCCGGTTCAGTTTTCAGTTGCACTGCTTCTTTTGATGCTTCCGGAGTTGGCTCCTTTTCCTTCAGAGCTGCAACCATCACAGCTGGTTTTTCTGAACGTGGAGTTGGTACGGGAGTCTCTTGTTGCACTTGTGGTGCAGAAACTTCAGGTTTGGCAACTTGAGGAGAGCTTGTATGCTTGGACTCTTTCTTCAGATCTTCAGCACTTAACGAAGCACTACTAGCTTTTGGTGTTCTCTTTGCTTCCTTTGGCTTGGATTCGGTAGGTAACTTTGCGTCAATGTTTGCAACACTGGACGGACTGGAGTTGTTTAAAGCAGGCAAGGCAGGACTTGGTTGCGACAGCTCGTTGTGGCTAACTTGAATTGGCGGTGGTGGTTGGTGTGGCGGTTGGTTCCCAAACTGAGATGGAGCTTGTTGTTGAGATATTGCTATCTGCTGATGTGGTGGTTGCTGTTGATGGTTCGGATTCGAACTTTGATACTGAGAAAGACCGGCTGCAGTTCCTGGTTGCCCTTGCTGGTACGGAGGCAACTGTTGGTGAGGTGGAGGAGCTGGCAATTGGGATCCTGGTTGATTTGCCGCCAATTGTGGAGGGGCTGGACCGCCATTGTTCTGTTGTGGTGGATTTTGTGGGGAGAACTGATGATGTTGTTGTTGCTGCTGCGGTTGTTGCTGCTGCGGTTGTTGTTGTGGTGGCGGTGGTGGTTGGTGGAGCTGCTGCTGCGGTTGTTGATGTCCAAAAGGCTGTCCTGGAGCTGGACCACCTTGCAATTGCTGGCCTTGTTGTGCTGGCTGTGCTCCTTGGTCTGATTGTTGGCTACTTTCCAAAACCATGCCTTGAGGCAATCTTGGTTGTTGAATAGATGGGGGTGGTTGAGGAGCATGAGTGTTACCTTCTTGTTGATACTTGATTAATTGGTCTAATCTTGCCTTTATATGAGGATTTCCGGGGTCTAATCTCTCTGCTTGTCTATACGCATCTAATGCATCACTAATTTGATTATTGCATGTTTCATACAAAGTACCCAAATCATACCAAACTTCACTGATATAAGGATTCAACCTTATGGCTCTGGTATAGGCATCCAACGCATCACGATATTGACTGATTTGGTAGTATAAAACACCAATAGAGCACCAAAAGGTTGGATTTCTTGAGTCACGATTAACAGCTTGTTGGAAAGCTTCATATGCTGCATTGAAATCACCTCTTATCATGTGAACTCTTCCTAAGTAATACCAAGAGTGGGCATCACTAGGATCGATTTCCAATGATTGAGTCAAATATTTCAATGCAATATTCAAGTCCTGTTGGAAAGGTTCATGGTGATGGGACCCGTTGCTTTGCCCTGGAGTAGGTGGATTCAGCTCAGCTTGTGAGTAAAGACAACCCAACTGTTGCAATACTTTGGCATGTTGTGGATTAACTTGTAGCACTTTTTCGTAAGCTTCTTTAGCCCCATTCCAATCCTTTTGTTGTTCCAATACAGATCCAATTTGAAACCAAACATCAGGTTGGGTCAATGGTGGTGGTGGATTATTCAAAATGTATTGGAAACATTCCAATGCCGGTTGTAACTTACCCTGGTGTTTGTAGATAATACCCAACCGGAAATAAATTTCGGTGGCTTTTTCGAAATTTGGATCCAATTCCAACACACGAACAAACGCCTCTTCGGCATACTCCAATGAGCCGTATCGGTCATAAAGGATACCAATACCATGCCATAATTTCGGTACATTGGGGTTTTCCAAGTAATACAATGCACGTTGATAAGCAGCATATGCTCTTTGCAAATCATCCAACATTAAATAACAATGTCCTAATAATCCCCAAGTTTCACCATTTTCCGGGTTAAAATTAAGGGCTTGTTCATACAACTCTGCTGCTTTAAAAAACACATCCTTTGAACGGTAAACATTGGCTAGTTTGGTCAATACATCTGGGTTATTTGGAGAGTGTCTCAATGCTGAGTCATAAGCAGACAATGCACGGTCGAAATCTCCCAAACTTTCAGCCAAAGATCCAATTGCTAACCAGGTGGATGCTGTTGTTTCGCTAAGAGCATTGGTGGCGGGGTTTCCTTGAGAAGATTGTTGGGCTTGTTGGGCTTGTTGAGCTTGGGCTTGAGCTTGAGCTTGAGCTTGAGCTTGAGCTTGAGCCTGAGCTTGAGCTTGAGCCTGAGCCTGGGCCTGAGCCTGAGCTGCTGCTGCTGCTGCTTGTTGGTTAGCAGTAGCTTGAGCGGCAGCGACAATCATTCCTGGACCCGTTGCATGGGCTTGTTGCTGATGCTGATATTGGTGTTGTTGTTGTTGTTGTTGTTGCTGTTGCTGTTGCTGTTGCGGTGGTGGCGGTGGCGGTGCAACTGAATTCGACTGTGGATGTACACCTCCATTCAAAGTTGGTGGCTGAGGCTGTTTATTTCCAACAACAATTGAGTGTGATGGATTGTACATGGTAGGCAACTGGCAAAAAAAACAAGGGACAATAATCAATCAATTGAAAATATGGGGGAAAAATCTTTCACAATTAATTAGACCACAAATGAATAGTATACTCTAAATGAAAGTATCAGTATATTAGAATACGTTGAGCAACTGTTGACGTAGAAATCCTCTACCTATTTGGTGGTGTGGGTCTAGGAGGGTTTTTTTTAAAAAAAAAGACAGTGCCCTAAGCGAAAATATCTGAGGCAAAGTTGTCAAACTCTACGCGAATAAAGTTAAAGGGTAGGCTGTAGTAGACAAAAGAATATACTAATGTGTGAGTGTGTCTGTATATGAGTGTATTTGCAGGGACAGTGTACTTGCCTCTCAATAGGTGTTTAATTTCCCTATAATGTTATGTTTTAATGGAATTTTGTCTAATCCAAACTTCTTTTGGTGATATTTTTTTCTTACTTTTCGTTTTCGTTTTCTTTTTCCTTTTTCTCAAAATTTAATTTTCGTTTTTTATTTTTTAAACTTTGCCCTTTTCATTGTTTTGTTTTATTTTGTTTGTTCAGTTTTGTTGATTATTACTTTTAACTTTGTGCTATATAACAATTAGAAAACAATCTTTATTTTATTTTTTATTTTATTTTTTATTTTATTTTTTATTTTATTTTTTATTCTATTTTTTCTTTTGTCAAATTTAATTTCGTTTACGACTTTCAACCATATCAAAACTCATCAGTATAATATACACACAAACATACAGACACTAACCACATAAAAAGAGTAGAAACAATTATTTGTAGAGAGATTGTCTGCATGTATCTAGAATACATCGTCAAGAAAGAACCACTCCCCACCCAATTCACACCTTTTTTTATCACTTGAAAAAAAAAAGCCTCACATTCTGACACTTTTGTTCACTAAACCTTTTACCATCCATAGTCCCACTCTAACACACTCATGTAACCAGTTCTCTTTTTTTTTTTAACAAGACCACTTTAAAAACTGATAAACCACGGACACCTCACCTCTCCACACTACTTAAACCTGTAATTATATTTTTATTTACCAAACTCCCACGGTGAATCTGGGTTGGGTTGGGGGTGGAATGTATATTGTGTGTCTTGTCTAATGTCACATGTATTTATTACGTAATACCTGATAAATAGCAGTACCATTGTATTATATAATACAATAATCAATTGTCAAACCGTTTTTCATTTTGATGAAACTGCGGGTGTAAAAGGAAAGAAAAAGTGAATCGTGTCTATTTTTATTTTTTTGTTATGGACAATTGTATTGGCCAATGACACACTAATATTTTTACACCCCCAGTCAATGAATTCTTTTAGTTTTCCCCTTAAAAGATAGGATATATATATACTGAGAGAAAAAAGAAAAGGAAGAGAATTAAGAGAAGAAAGGACTGCCTTCTCTGCCCTCTGTGTTGTATTTTCAGTGGTGTTAAAATAACAAGTCCTGGACTCTGTTTCATTCCTGATGTTGAACTTTTTACACCCCTCTCCTTTACTCACAAAAGACCAAAAAAGAAATTAACATGAAAGAACAGTCTAAAAAACATATCACAAAAGAAAACTCGGGAGAGTGAGAGAAAGGGTGTGTAATGTTTCGGTTTTACACCCCCTATTTCTGTACGCCTAATCTTATTTTTACTCTTTCTCTTACTACGGCTCAGATTCAGTCTCCGCTTTCTCCTCGGAGTTTAAGGCAAAAAACACCACAACACATCAGTTGGTCACGACGTTTGTCGTGTTTGGTTTACACAGCCGGATACTTCTTTGTAGTAACTACTCTACAAAATTAAATGGTGGTATCATTCATGAACATCGTCAGATTGTATGTTGTACTAAAGCAAAGGCTGACATTACTACGTGATTACCATACATTCATAGTCTTCGTATATACACCGTTACACCCCGTGTCTCTATAGATGCAGTTTCTTACTCTTTTGTCCCCGGAAAGAACTATTGAATCCCAACAAACTATTCAAATCCTTAGACCACTGGTTTTGATTAGTGGCAACACACCAAATTCCATTCTTATCATTGTACTCAATTCCATCACCATCACCGTCCCCATTATTCACAGTTGTTGTTGCTTTTCCATTGTTTCGTTTCTGTTTCTTAATCTTGTCATTTGCAACCACCACTGTTTCTGAAGTGATGTGCAATTCATCTCCCGGATGAAGGTCTTGTTGACTAATTCCATCCACCGTTAACTCAATAAATGAACTACGATTATTCTCTGATAACCGCACCATTATATCGGATGTGCATGGTAAGATTAGTGGACGGAATGAAAGCGATCGAGGACAAATTGGCGTAAGCAAAATACATGCCACTGCTGGATGAGTTATTGATCCGCCAGCAGATAACGAATACGCAGTTGAACCAGTAGGGGTGGAAAAGATTAGTCCATCGGCATAAGTGGTGGTGAAGAATTCATTATCAATATAGATATCCAATGATGTTAGATTTGGTGAGCTTCCACGATGGATTGTGATGTCGTTCATTGCATGTATCATCTCTTGCTTTTCTACTACTTTTTCCACCTCTTTTGCTTCATCATCCTTCTCCTTGGTATCACTGTCTTTGATTTCAACGTATCGTCTCTTTTTATTCCTCACCAATGCCACTTCAACTTCTTCTTTCTCAGCCCTTTTGCACGTCCTGACATCAGCATTTCTAACCACATGGCACTCCAATCTATTCCGATGCAACGCTTGTGCCCTATTTTCATACACCAACGCAAAACACAGCATACAGTTTCTAAAATCAAAGGGTAATAAAAACCCCAATGTGCCCATGGCAAACGACAACACTGGCGGAACTTGGACATTGGAAAATAATGAAACACCACGTAGAATCGTTCCATCACCCCCAAGCGTAATTATCAAATCAGTCTTGCTGATAATCTCTTTTGTACTTCCCGTGTACACAATGTGTTTTTGCGCCGATGAGCCCAATTGCTTATCAACGGTTGTTGTTTCATTCATCAACTCATCAGCAACATTCTCATCGACAATTACATTGACACAGGGGTATTGTTCATGTAAATGGTCAATTAGCTCAACCATGGCATCTCGAACAGTAGGCTCCCATGGCTTCTTGACAAGAAACACATTCGAAAGTGGACTTTCATTCCAAACAATATTGTATAATCGATTATGGGGCGATTTGATATATTCAGGAAATCGAGCTGCTGGTAGATCGCGACATAACTTGACCTCAAGTTTAGATTGACCCGGTCGCATTAGAATCAGTTGAGATGTGAAATGTCTTTGTAATAGTCTACTATGGTGGTGGTTGTTGCACGGGAGGGATATCCTAGATGACCTGAACACGCTACTATATAGTTTAAGTTGTGATAAACTTGGCAATCTAAAGCTGCCGATAATCATTCGATATAAATAATAAATAATAATTGAAAATAATGCCCGATCGGAATGTAACGTCGTATTGTTTTAAAATGATTTATCGGATATATTCTCCCGATATTCTTCTATTGTAAAGCAATTGACTGTTAAATCTCGTCACCTTTTTATCTGTGTAGTAATGAAACGCCGCTCCGGATCTCTCAAAATTATTTTTATTTTTACTTTTATTTTTCTTTTTCTTTTTCAGCAATTGTGGAGTGATTGTCACTACACAAGCCGACTAAAGTTCTAAAATCGGTTATAATACATAGTTCTAACTACACTTACTCATTTTTCAATGCAGCTTCATTCATCTGCTCAATCTCCTTCAACTCTTCCTCTGTCAACATCGAAACATCTGCCGTCTCGTCCTTTGTCTTGTCTTCTTCAATGGTATTGTTTTGCGAGTCATCACCATCATCCATCTTTATGTCCTCCTGTTCATCAACTTTGTCTTTAATATCTTTACCATTACTCTCCTTGGCATGACCATTCTCCTCTATATTCTTTTCTCCAACATCTTTATCATCTTCATCATAAAAATCATTTTCCGGCTGTATTTGAGCATCTCGACTCATCTCTGATCCACCTTTGGTGTCAATGGCCTCGGCATTATCTTCTTCAACGTCTCCCAAGTCTTCTGGATCGTTAGGTACGTCATTCATTTGTACTGATGGTGCATGTTTGGTGTTTTCCAAATTGGCAACAATGCTCGTCATGATTTTGTCTAAAAATTCGGGCGAATTCTGATTATACATGTTTGACGGGCGTACTTCCAACGTATAGTTTGGTGCATAGTACTCATAATACTCATTGTATGGCAACTCTGCTGGTAATTTGACATTATTCAATAACCCCGATTCATAAGCCCAGGTTCTAGCCACATTTCTCATGGTGTATCCACCACCACCCACCACCATCAATGGAATATTAAGTGACTTGACAAAATTGATACAGTTGGCATGTCCTTCCATTGACAAATTGAAGCACCCCAATCTATCACCACTTAAAGAATCACCACCACATTGTAGCACAATAGCTGATGGTTGGTACCATTCAACAATCTTGCTAATTACGGGCTCAAAAATGGACTTGTACGTGGCATCATCAATACCGTCTCTCAAGGGAACATTAACACTATGGTATTTCCCCTTGCCAACACCGATATCTCTCAATTCACCAGTTCCGGGGAAAAACTCACCATACTTGTGGAAGGAACAGGTCATGACTCTATCAGTGGTGTAAAAGGCCTCTTCAACACCATCACCATGATGAACATCAATGTCGATATACAACACTCTAGGATGATATCTTAACAACTCAATAATACCCAACACGATATCATTCAAATAGCAAAACCCTGATGCTTCTGATTTCTTTGCATGATGCAATCCACCAGCATAATTAATGGCAATATCACATTTGCCTCGGTTCAATCTTGCTGCACCTTCCATCGACCCACCACCACTAATCCCACAGTACTCAAACAATCCATCAAATACAGGACAGTCATCACCAACGTTAAACTTGACACTTTCTTTACTAAACATATCCAAATTATCAGGCGATACTCGACTTATGAAGTCGATATACTCATCCGTGTGGAACTGACACATCTCTTGCTTAGTAGCTGGTTTTGCCCGGTAAATCTCCATCTTTTTGTAAAGTCCATAGTTCATTATAAGCGAGTGCGCCATTCTTATACGATGGGGCTTCATTGGATGTCCTGCTCCATAGGCATAGTTCCCTATATCTGCATCATAAAAATAAGCTATTCTTTTCTTTTGGTTGGGGTCAACCTTAAGCTCGTCAAAGGGGAGCTGAGTATACATTATCAGACTAGTGAAATTATGAATGGTCTCGTGTGTCCGTGGTGAACTCGTGGAACTTTTTTGTTTATGATATTTTGCCCGATTTTCCAAGTTTTCTTTTTTCTTTTTTTGCTTTCACCAAAAGACGCACACGCACAGCTACCCTACCACATTCGGTAAAAATAATGCATTTACAATCTATACCTCTACATAACTTTCTCTTTCTCTTCTTACTCTATCTTTGAAGTTCAGTAGTTGCTCGTTCAACTGGTTCTGCAACTCAGCATTATTGCACCATTTCTTATAAACTTCTTCGTTGACCTTGAAGTTGATTCCATTTTTGAATCCGGAATCGGCAACTTTTTTAGTCACCGATACAGGTAGAAGCCAGGACATCCATCCGTCTCCAAACACTTCTTTGAAATTCTGTCTTTTTCCAAGATCAAAGATATTGGAGAGCTTCTTTTGTTTCCCATTGGCATCAAACTCGTAATTGTATCGATCAACACCACGATAGTTCCACCTCTGTTCTTGAAACTCGATTGTAGTTGTATTCTTGCTAACCATGTATAGTGAAAAGAGTGAAAACAAACTCAATGAAAACCCAAAAGTCAACGACAACACACATACAAGTATTAAGTTGATGGAAATGTAGCCTTCTTGGTACTTATCTGTGGCAAATATATCGTACAAGATCCTAAAGGTAACTCCAAACAAGACCCAACAGTATAAAGACGAATAACACAAGAATTGAACAAAAAACTTGTAGTTAAAGTATCCAATACAAATCGAAAACCAGGGACAATAATGGTCCATTTTCAAAATGCACTTCCCTGACTTTGAGCAATGATGCGTCCGATCGGGCTTCCAGCAATTACATTTGCTGCAATAGCGGAACCCTTGGTTCCCACCTAGCTTCAACGTATGTACAGTCATAAATTCTGGTGGTTCTTGGTCGGGCTGTGGACCTGAACGGGCGGAGTCATCAAACGGATTGTCAGAAAAGTTGCGAATCTTCAATTGTGGGTAATCCAAAGGCGAGCCAGGCCCCGTATGTATTGTTTTGAAATATGCAACCATGCTGAGAAGGTATAGTAGGATGAGCATGGCAGATTGTATGTACAATGCAGTGTGTGATTCGGTATATTTAGGTGCTATGAGAAACATAACCAACAACGACCATGTTATTATCCCTGAAAAGAAAAGCTTGGGGAAAAGCGATGCAAAGATGCAGCAACATTGCTCGCACGATAGGAGGAGTGTGCTTCGTTTGAGCATTCTCATTGGTGATGCCGTGGCTGTATTCAGCATTACACACGTCTTGCAAGAAATTCCTCCGTAACAAACTTTTGCTCGTACCTTCGTATGTCGTACAATTACATGTTCGGACATCGACACTGCTGTTTCTAAGTTTTATATTTTTCTGTCCAATCAACAAATTTTGAATTTTGCTTAACAAACAGAATGATACACTGGAGTTAAATTTTTTTTTTCTTTTCTTCCTGTTTATAAAACACTTCTTGAGGACACTTCAACAAAACTAACTGGATACCAGTATTTGCCATCATTTATAGAAGTCGTCGATAATCCTAGCCACCTTATTGGAACATAATACTACGACAATATCAACCTTTTTTTGCCACATATTCTAATCCTTATTAATTCAAAGTTATTATTGCATATCCAATCAAAAACAAAGTCCAATGTTTTCGTTAAATAAAACTACTATACTCAGACAAGTAGGTCAAATAAGGCCGATCACGTCATCGTTAGCACCATCCATAACTCAACTTCCAGTATCTCAAACCATATCTAAACGTCATGTTTCATCAAAAGAATTAACTCCAAAGCAATTACCCACTGATTTCCCATTAATGTCAGAAAAGACTGCTTCGAGCCCTATAGATTATGCATTAACTTCATTAGATGCTATAGCAAACTGGGCTAGAAAGTCGTCGTTCTGGCCAGTTACATTTGGATTGGCATGTTGTGCGGTAGAGATGATGCATGTTTCAGCACCAAGATACGATCAAGATAGATTGGGTATTATTTTCAGAGCTTCACCACGTCAATCGGATATTATGATTGTTGCTGGTACTTTGACCAACAAGATGGCGCCAGCATTGAGACAAGTTTACGATCAAATGCCCGATCCAAAATGGGTTATTTCTATGGGTTCATGTGCTAATGGTGGAGGATACTACCATTACTCATACTCAGTTGTGAGAGGTTGTGATAGAGTTGTTCCAGTTGATATATACGTACCAGGGTGTCCACCAACAGCAGAAGCTTTGATGTATGGTGTTTTCCAATTGCAAAAGAAGATGATGAAGACGAGAATTACCAGATTATGGTACAGGAGCTGAGTGTGTGTGTGTGTGTGTGTACGAGTATGTAGATAATATTATAACATCTAAATTATAATCAGCCGATCGACCGTGAGAATCAGATGCACTTGACTATGAACACTGGTAGAGTAAGAGTACTTTGATTGGATTTTTTTGAGTCCCTCCACACGACTTTCTGTCACGAATCAATTTTTTTTTCTGTCATTCAATGTCATTAACAAAACTCTTTTTTCACGACACACAGCAGAAAATAATAAAAGTCACAATTGACTTTCCCCGATAAGAGAGCGAATAATTTTGTGAAACACGATGGATCTGCCCACACACATATGCTGCTCTAACAAAAAACCAAAAAAATGACTTTGAAATCCGCACAAACAAAAATTGAAATTTGATTGAGTTCAGTTGTAATAGTTAAAGAACAACAGAAAAAAAAAAAAGAAAAAGAACAAAAATTAAAAGGAGAGGCACAACATATAGAATAATCATTTGCTTTTTTTTTTTCCTATTTTGTCGTTGTGGTAAATACTGATCAGTTTTCCCTCTTTTCACAAAAGTTTTTAATTTTGTTGCCAGAAAATTTTGCCCCCCTTTATTTAATTCATTACTTTTCTTCTTTTGGTCAAATACCATTACAAATATATATACAATTTACATCAAAAGATGGCCAGAACTAAACAAACAGCAAGAAAGTCTACTGGTGGTAAGGCACCAAGAAAGCAATTAGCTTCCAAAGCAGCCAGAAAATCAGCACCAGTTTCCGGTGGTGTCAAGAAACCACACAGATATAAGCCAGGTACCGTTGCTTTGAGAGAAATTAGAAGATTCCAAAAGTCGACTGAATTGTTGATTAGAAAATTACCTTTCCAAAGATTGGTTAGAGAAATTGCTCAAGATTTCAAGTCTGACTTGAGATTCCAATCTTCTGCTATTGGTGCTTTACAAGAAGCTGTTGAAGCTTACTTGGTCGGTTTGTTTGAAGACACCAACTTGTGTGCTATCCATGCCAAGAGAGTTACTATCCAAAAGAAGGACATCCAATTAGCTAGAAGATTGAGAGGTGAAAGAACATAATGATTCAGCTCTATTGATGCTACGCTAATCATGTTCTTCTTTTTCTTTTTTATTTCTCCTTGGGTTTGTCTTTTTCGTTTTTATATAGGGTAATTTTAATACCTTTTGATATCATTGCAAGTGTAGAGATATTCGATATGTAGAACTGTTTTTACATTGTTGAAGTGGTGTATTGTAAATGTAAAAATACATACACTGTTGTAATCTCTATTTACTCTTCCCCCGTTGACAGTGTAATCTCTACTCACTCTTCCCTCGTCCTCAGTTCGGGTCCCTTCTTGTCCGATTTGCTGGGTGTTTCCGCATGTTCCCCAAGCTTATTTTGCTGCTTGTATTCTAGCATTTGGTAAACCAGTGAATCGCCAAATGCTTCGGAACCATTGTCATCAGTTAATTTCATCTTGTTCATTGAATTTATCAAATTTTCATCATCGCCACCTTCTTGGTGTTGCTGTTGCTGTTGCTGTGGTGGTGGTGGTACTTGTTCACGAGAGTACCCGTACCGGAAAGCTTTACCTTGAAATGGAGCATTCCGACTAGCGGCTTCGGCATCCTTACCACTTCCTCTTATAGGAGTACTTGTATACGATGGCTCACTTTCACCCGTTTCTACTCCAGCCCTGGTGCTTGTTGTATCTATAGATTCACCTTCCTCTGAAGACTGTGGCTGGATATTGCCACCATATTGTCCGTATTGATGAGGAGGGACAGGAATACCCATAGAATGAACTTGTGCTGCTGCTGCTGCTGCTGCTGCCGCCGCCGCCGCCGCCGCAGGAGGAGGAGGCGGTGGAGGCATGTTTATTTGTGGCCCAGGACCAAGCATATGTGGTGGTACTTGGTGAGGATGTGATTGGGGCATCACAGGTGGGAATCCACCGGCAGCAGCGGCAGCAGCAGCGGCAATGGCAGACGATGGGTCCATACCCATAGATAATGCCGCTGCTACTTGCATCTGAGCAGCCTGTGCTACTTGATGTTGCTGTCGTTGATACTTTTTATTATTCATCGAAACTCTACCCCAGCTCAACCTGACTCTATTGCCACCAATAATAAACCCTTGCATGGCAGCAATTGCTCTCTCTGCCTCCTCTCGAGTGGAATATTTTACAAATCCACAATTCTTACCTGGCGGAATCTTAATTTGTTGGATGATACCAAGAGGTTTGAATAAGGTGAATAGCGTGGCCTCGGTGACCTCAGAAGATAGGCCTCCAACAAAAACAGTTGTATTATTTGGATCAGAATACTGAGTCAGCAGTATCTGGGATTGCATTGGGCTTTGCTGAGGAGGAATTGGTAAGGACGGGGACATATAAGGCTGCCCCTGACTTTGTGGATCGTGCTGTAAAAAATTGTTATCCAAGTCCGGTGGTAAATGCAAAGCACCTGGCGATCTATCGTTAGGAATTGGATTGAAGTAACCAAACAATGGACTACCGCCCATTTGGTTTTGTGGCGCTCCAGGTGGAAGAAACATCATTTCTGGTGGCATCTGTACACCAGAAGTAGAGTCGGAACTGTAATAGTCACCTTGCTGCGAAAATGGCACGTTGTTTGGTTTCGAAAACTTGCGATAATTCGTGCTGCGAGGTGTGGCAAGCGCAACTCGTAATGGCCTGCCTGCAAACCAAACTCCATTCATTTCAGTTAAAGCTCTCTGCCTCTCCAGCTCCTCAGTAAATCTGACAAAACCGAAGCATCTCGATTTTCCTGACACCGGATCGGTCATCACCCTTACAGTCTTGATTGAATTGGGAAACTTTTTTTGAAAAAATGCTAAAAGATGGGCTTCAGTGGTAGATGCCGACAAATCACCAACAAATAGGGAATACTCTGGTATCTGAACAATTGGAGCGCTTAAGGTAGCTCCACTGGCCCAATTCAACCTAAAGTACTTTTTCTGGTTATCCGGGTTATTCGGATAGAGTTGTTGCGATGGCATGGCGATATCAGGTAGTAATTGCCCGTTCAAACTCAATGCTTGTTGAGCATCTTCAAAAGTTTCAAATTCAACAAAGCAGTAGCCGGAATTGGTCAATCCTTGAAATTGCGGATCAAGTTTCAACGTTTTTGGCTTTATTATCTTTACAACAACTTTCTTCTGCAATAAGTTCCACCAAAGGTCTGCAATCTGGTTCTCATCGAGCCAGGAGTCCAAATCACCCATCCACAATGTCCGTGGTTGTTCCGTCGTATCCCCGACAGGACCTTGGTCCGCGGCAACAGCGTTTGACTGTTTTGTCGAGATGGGCGGATTGGGCACAGTATACTCGGAAAGAAGTTCTTGTTCTTGTTGATGCTGGTGGCTGGCTGTACTTGATATCGTATGAGGATTTATTGCCTGTGATGGTTGAGATATATTATACAGTTCTTCTTGTGTCAGGGAAGGCGCGGTTGTGTAATTTATAGATTGCGTGTCAATAGTATTGGCAGTTGCAGCAGCTTCATTGGACTGGTAATCAGCATGTGTGTGAGGATCGTACGCCATGTTTACCTTTTTGTTCTCTCCGATATTTCAATGTACGTCCCCTCGGGATATTCTAATATATGAAGTTGAGGTAAAAAGGGGAGAGGAAACCTGTAAACTTGAGTTACAAAAATTATGTCAACCTTTTTTTTTTTGGTTACAAATTATCAAACCGATTCTAGAGACACACAGAATCACCGAAAATCGAAATCAAAAAAATTAAGGAGGCACAGTCAATAAATATATCAATGCACATACTGAGGTTGCTATAACCCGCCAAAGCTACATAGTTGATTCCATTGATTTCCCCTCATCCTCAAGCAAGACTCACGAGAATTGCAGTTGGCTAAATGGGCTGATTCTAAAGTCTGGTCAATCGAGATCTAAATGAAGTCCGGATTACAACATGGAAAAGTCAAAACTTGGCTAATCTGCAGATGTAGGGAAGCGCTGTTGGAGATGTCCCGTTACTGGTGTTTGAATCAGCCTCTTTTATTTGCGCTACTGTCATCCTTTTGATATGTCTGGAGGGGAGGTATTTCACTCAGCTTTAGTACACGCTAGAACTATGTAACCATCAAAAGGCCGGTTTGAAGATCTCCTTGACACTATTGAGCCACTAGTAGTAGTTAATGAGAGAGGTGTTAACCGAATTAAACAATAGAGCAATGCAAGAGTATTAAGAGGTGGCATTGCGTTATTACAAGCTCGGTAGTTTTAATTTATCTTACTCATTTTGAATACATTCATTACAAAATGCTTACCAGCTTGCAATAGCCCAATCTCTTACCTAATTCATTTAGCGTGGTACCACATTCATTTTACGTTTCGTAGTTTATAATGCCTTTACTTCTTTTTGGTATTTAAGATTTTTCGTTAGAGCAGTTGACATAGCTAATATACCATAGAGTGAGTATCCCGTTGCAAAAAAAAAAAAGTACGTGTCTGGGCGGAGAGAAATTTATTAAATCAAAAACAAAAATGTAAACAAACGATACCTTTTGCAACACCCAATCTTCGAAGTGATCACATAAAGTCAGCACAGAGTTTAAACAATGTTTCTGCAGAATAGCTGTAATGGCAGCGTGACAAATCATGCACCTATTGATGATTCTCTGGAGACTAATTCGAAAAGGGGGGACAACATACCTCCAAACATTAATGACCAGAATCCTACCACAAGTCATTCCAAAGAGAACCAAGCGCACACAGGATTAAAACTAAAAGGGTCACAACCTTCACTTTTGAATCCTCGGCAACCATCAGTATATCAAAAAAGAATTAGTTATATTCCGAATAAAAACTTTTCGGGAAACAAAAGCACAATTTTACAACAAGACGATGGTAATTCTCCCCAAGTTTCTGTCCCAAACACATTTCACTACAAGTCTCATCCGAATGCAAAATCGAAAGAATTAGGGGGGAGTATACTTGTTGAAGATGAACAGCACGATTCACTGCGCCAAAACTCGCAATCATATGGTGCTACTCCGCAGTGGATGCCAGAAGAGTTGAAAGAAAAATGGACTCAATCTTCGACAAATGACGGGTTAAAATCAAACACTGGTAACAACCTCTTGAATCACAACATTAAATCCATGGAGTTTCAACCTAGCAGTACCGTAATTCACAACTCGGATATACAAATGAAAGAAAATCTTCCTTGGGTATCGACGTTTGAAAGCCCTGCCGAGAAAAACTTGCAACATATATTCCAGGATCCAAAGGAAACATCAATCAAGGAAGCATCAGCTTCCTCAATGGCCTCGACGCCTGTGGGCACAATGAGAAAGATATCGTCATCACTGCACCCGGTGGCTGCTGACTTTAACGGACTGAAACCTCAGTCGCCATTGAAATTATATAACTACAACTACGACACATTTACAAGGATGAAACTCGAGGGCGTGCTACAAAATTTTGCCTCCAATAAAAACACACCAGCTCAAGTGAATAACCGACCAAGCTACAAAAGAATAGACTTGAAAAACCCTCCGTTGATTGAGAATTTACAAACGTCCAATATTCCTTCCAAAATAAGCATCAAGGATTTTACCAAAACAAAGTCGTATACTGCCAATGCATACAAGATAAATGCAGAAAATGTCTTCTCTGAGATTGTGAAGAAGGGCCATAAAGGACAAATTGGTCGCATTAGGAGTGTTTCTAAAGAGACTGCGACTTCTACGCCCAAGAAAAATCCTGTGCACACAGATGCAGCCACAGAAATCCATGAGAGTAATTACGCATCATTCAGTACGGGCTATAGTTCTGAAGAGAAAAGTGTGGACAATGATGCAAATGAACAGCATAAACAGGTCTCCAATGAGTTTACTTCCATAACAAATGATTCTGAGGGCGAAGACGAAATGGGGGTGGATAGCATCCACACAGATGTGACATTCAAATCACAGTTGGACATAGTTGCAGATGCAAATGTCATGCAAGGCTCTTTGTACACACAAGACTTTTCAAATTCACAGTCCTCAGAAAGTGAAGAGCCAGTGTCACTGAGGACTCTTGAGAGCAATCAGCCCAACCAATCAGAACCAATGGGCTTTGATAGCAAATATGAGGACTCTGTTGGCACAATCAAGTTGAGATCAGTTTCTGAATTGCGTGGAAAATTCATATCCCCTCTCGTCAATGGCAAACCACAACCAAACATAAGCTTATCGCATGCATACCCAGGAATGGTGTTTGATCCACTTAATCAAAAGTGGATTAGTACTGAAACCCAGAATAAAACATTAGACAATATTGAGGACTTGACCGATGATGAGACCGATGATGAGACCGAGTTGCCTGGCATTTTGAAAAAGGCAAACTCGAAAGCAAAAAAGACCAACTTTGAAGTTTCATTTCATGAGCCAAGCTCATTTGATAAAAGTGCTGATAATGGTGGCAATGAATTTGTTGCTGGTGATGTTACTAAAGTATCACAGTTGATGAATGTATCCTTTTCCGAATCAAGAAGGGAGTTAGTGTCTGCACTTAACGATGTGCTAGAATTGAAGTTGGAAATTTCCTCCTGGAAGGATGTTGAGTATATAGATTTGTCTCACTGCGACTTGAGGTTCCTAATTGACTTGTTTGAGTTCTTGCCTGTGTTGAAGAGGTTAAAGGCTTCGGGTAATAATATCAAGTATTTATGTGGCCTTCCAAGCGGAATACAAGAACTTGATTTATCAGAGAACATTGTGGAAGACAAAAGCGGGTTTAGTGAATTGACAAATCTACAGCGTCTCAATCTTGAGCACAATCACTTGACAGAAACGACAAATCTTTCCAGAAACATCAACTTGACGACGCTCAATTTATCACACAACAGCATTGATGATATCAGTGGCTTAAAGAATTTGTCAAATTTGACAAAGTTGGACTTGTCTTTTAACAAATTGAGGACATTGAATCTCGCGGAGTATCGATGGGCATATCTTGAAGAAATGAATGTCTCCAATAACATGATTGAAGCAATTGATAATATAAACCATCTTGGTGCCTTGAGAGTTTTGAACTGTGACAAAAATAGAGTGGCAAAGTTCGATTTGGTGAGTATGAGTTTGAGAAAATTACTGGTTAATCAGAATAACTTGGTTCATTTTGACATTTCAAGCATAAAGCAGTTGCTATGTTTAAGATTTGATGGCAATGCGATAACCAATATACAACTACCCAGGTGTAACATCATTGAAGAGATATCAATGAAGTCGCAGCTAGGGTTGCATCAAACTTGGGGCTCGTCTGCTGCAAGATGTGATCAATTGAGGTGCTTGGATTTGTCGGGTAACCGAATGTTACCAACCGGCACATTTCCTTTAATCAACAAGCTTACTCTATCAGCAATGAATTTGAGTCACTTGCCGAATGATTTTGCGAATATGTTTCCAAATGTGCAATACTTGAATCTAAATTTTAACAAATTAAGGTCCATTGAGCCACTTTCTGACTTGAAGGGTTTGAAAAAGTTGTGGTTATTGAGTAATAAACTACCGAGCCCTATTAAAGCATTGAGATGCCTCGCTAATTCGAAGGAGAAGTTGGTTTCGCTAGATTTAAGATTAAATGCCTTTAGCAAGTCTTTGTATGACTATATTTTTGCTGAAGATGAAGCGAATATTGATATTGACTTGGCTACAGTGGATGAGATTGAAGCGTTTACCGAAATATTAAACGACTTTGATCGCAGTGAGATCTGGGGTGAAAGGGACCAGGCATTTTGCCAGCAATTGGAAAGAGCAAGCCGAATCACAACAATAAGAGAAAGAGAAGTTTACCAAGCCACAACTATCATGTTCTTTAAACACTTGAGGAGCCTCGATGGATTAGACATCTCGAATGCTTACCGACGTGAGGCCTACGTATTATATAGAAAATATTTCCCCAAGTAGGTTATCTAGTGAAATGTATATACAAGAACCAATGAATTGGGAGATATATTGCCGTCATAGATAAGCTTGTCTAAGCATACTCTCCTGGATGTTTTTCGTCTTTTCTGTGCTATACTTAGCTTGTACTCGTGTGCCACTAAAATATAAACGTCCGCTTAATCACAGTCGTCCACACACAAAAAGTCACAAGCTAGCATTCTATGCAAGCAGCCACTTCTAGATCAATACAGGAAGAAGAATAGCGATGCAAAGACTGTTTGGCCGCCTTTCTCCCACAGTGCTTATCATTTTGCGCTCATTGTTATACTCGCAAAAAGCAAAAGCAAAAATCACAGAAGAGAAAAATTAAATAAAATAAAAATAAAACAAAAATAAAATAAAAAAAAAAAAATTATCGATGTCAATTTCGTTTTTAATCAGAAAATTTCTTTGCTAAAGTTTAAAGCATCCCCCCCCCCTTTAGAGACACACTGCAACGATGAACGGCGAAGGATGGTATGTGATGCAGTAAAAAATAGGCTTAATTTGAATCAATGATTGATTGTTTTCCCCCGCGAGCTTTTTACTAACACTTTGAAATGCAGGTTATTTATTTTTGCGGTTGTCGTGAATGCCGTTAATTTGTTTTCACAAGTGTTTTTCACAATTATGTACTCCGATTTGGAGTGTGATTATATCAATCCCATTGAATTATGTAACAAGTTGAATCCGTGGTTCATCCCTGAGGCCGGTTTACATGCATTTATCGCATTATTATTCTTGGTCAATGGCTATTGGTTCTGTTTCTTGCTCAATTTGCCATTGTTGGCCTACAATGTCAACAAATTTTACACCAAGAATCATTTATTGGATGCAACTGAAATATTCAGGACGTTATCGAAACATAAGAAGGAGAGTTTCCTGAAGTTGGGTTTCCATTTGGTGATGTTTTTCTTTTATTTGTATAGAATGATCATGGCATTGGTTAAGGATGACCACTGATCGGAGCGCAGGTGTTCACAAGGTGACGTGAATTAGTAGACATTTTCGTTGGTGATGAGAGATGCTCCCATTTTATATAGTGAGTTCTAAACGTGTACTAATACATCAACATTTATTGTATCAAAGTGTAGAGTTTCTACTGTTTATGACTGAGACCCAGGTACCGTCTGCTTTGGTGTACACGAGCTTACTCAAAACCAGTCTCTAGATGACTAATTGGAAAGTGCCAAATACTTCCGGTTGGCGTCATATCTTCTAAATGTCCAAGTTTTGCAAGCTTTACGTTGGAAATTCCCCTTCTTTGTCTTTTAATTTCTCATTCACGTAACTTAACTTCGAAACAATGCCTTCTTCATGCTTAAATAGAGGTTTCAAAGCAGTCAATTGTGCCTCCACTGTCCCCAGGGTATCCAGACCTAAAGGCGATGCACCGTTTGCTTCTTGTTTCAAAGTGCCCATCCTTTCATGTATCGATCTCATCAACTCATATTCGAGGTTCTTATTTCTCTCCTTTTCTCTCAACTCACTCAATACAAGTGCCACATTCCTACTTTGACCCTTCACCACCAAAATCTTGTCTCGTAGTTGTTCCTTCTCTTTTTCAAGCTTGGAAATGGACTTTGCTGTCAGCTCAAGCGACACAGATGTGTCACGTACCTGGTCAATCGCCATGAAAACGTGCTTTTTGAATTGGGCAGAATATGGAACATCTGATTTGAATTCTTCAACCAAGCGTCGTAAAACATCCAACAAACGAACTTCCTCCTGTTTGAGAAGCTGATTTTCCGTTCCAAATCCTTGTGGATGATCCACAATACGGTAATCATGTACTGGATCAGGCTTTATGGTAAGTGGAATAGCAGGTCTTCGAGAAAATGATTCCAAGGGCAAGTTTGGTACGCTATTTGCTATGGAACCTGGTTTGGTCTCGAATGTTTTGTCCTGTTTCTCTACCAATTCGCTGATTGGCTTTATTACATGTGAACTCGGCTTTCGTCCTCCTGCTCTTTTTTTCTTAGGACGCCCCCTCCCTCGCTTTTGCTGGCTAGCGGGAAGAGACTTCAAGACGGCATATTCTGAAGAGATGTCAGGGTTATTCCTGAGGGTGTCCTTGCCTTCAAGAATGTATGTGTTGTCTTCCAGCTCGATCAGTTGTTGCTCATCAACGATTTTCAATTTGTGCGCTTGAATTACACGCTTACTGTAGTCTTTGTTAGTATCCTTTCTGTTTGGTGTAATCAACTATCCAAACATACCCTGACCCTCTGATTCTAGCCTGGCGCCGAATCTCTCTTTCACGAGTGTCGAAATTGCTCATTTACAAGGAAGCGTAAGAAAAGGGTTTGTTGACGCGCCGAATCTGAAATATTTGCAACAAACGGTGCTACCAGAAGAAAGAATTAAACGACTTTTATTATACAGAAAGAAAGGGTATTATACTAAACGAACTATACAAATGTCACAAGATAGCTCATAAATAATTGAGCGGCAACGATAAAGAAGGAAGATGATGAAGCAGCTTTGATTCCATGACCAGTATAAGAACTTGGTGAAGATGAAGCTGTAGGTCCATTGGAGGTTGTAGGACCTGAGGTCGTGGTCGATTCAGTAGAAGCAGGTGAACTGTTGGATCCCGAATTTCCTCCACCGCCAATAACCAAACCAGTTGTGGTAGCGGTAGTCGCAGTAGTAGCAGTAGTAGTAGCCAGTGCGCTAGCTGTTCGAGATTCCCCAGCAATTGTAGAATTATTCCCTTGTTGGCTTGAAGAAACAGTAGAACTACTGGAGCTTGAAGAATTACTAGAGCTTCCCAGGCCAGATCCAAGCTCAGGAACCTGGGGAGCATCTTCGGCTGTTCCTGTCCAGCAGTACTCTTGGAAGCATTTAGCACACTCTTCACTTTGTTCTTGGCCTAGCCTCTCTTGTTGTCTCCTAATGATGGCACAACCAACACATGTGGCCCAGTTTGAATCGCCCGTCAAATTACCAGAAGACATAACTTCATAACCATTTCTAATGGTTCCTGTCTTTTCTGCATTCTCGTAGGCCAATTTGAAGGTTGAAAAATTTGACAAGTATGATTCATGGTGATTAGACAAGTATACAACCAATGGTATGTCCGTTTCGTTCACCACGTTGTCTTTGTGAAACTCAGCAAGGTCAGATAAAGCCGATGCGTTACAGCCAAAGAATATTGGCTTTTCTTTCAAGTCATTACTCAAATATGTGTCCACAGTAGGAACGTAAGGGAATGGAGTTCCTTTTCCTTGGTTGGAAAATTGCCACTTGTAAGTTTCTGTGAATGAAGTTCCATTGGGCCAGTTTTCTTTAGTATCAGCACTATTATCAAAACCAAAGATTACATCGACTCCTCTCTCGGTTTGAATCAAGGGGTAAAATGGGACATTTTGACCGTCTTCACCACCATCAACCAAAGACAAAGTGTTATTATTAATGATCGTTTCTTCTTGAGCATACGAGGACTCGTAAAATGGATTAGGTTTATAAACCGCCACATCATCTTTGCTATCACTGACTACCGACATGATTTGGTCAAAGATGGGTCTAAGTATTGTGCTGACATCATAGTCATCCAAGTTTGAAAAGACTGAATTGAATACTGATGATGATGTTCCCATGACAAAACCAGCATTATCGTAGTTCCTTACACATTGATGTGAATCACCATCTTCAATGCTGGAGCCCAAGTACTCGATATCTACAAATGCATTCAACGTATCAAAGTTACCTAACTCATATGGCGAGATTTCCACAATAAAGGTCAGATTTTGGCTAATCACTTCGGCCTCAACAGTCTTACCATTAGCTACCAATATGGAATAGGGCATTGTGTGGTCCTTAAAGCTGGTCAAGTTACGGACACTGGACCAAGTAACATTAGCACCACCACTGGAATCGTCTAAAAATTGGTGACTCAAAGCTCTGCCCCAGATATCGGTGATAGAAGTGTTGAAACCAGCTCTATTTTTGTTGACAATAGCAGTACCCACCCCAGTGTAGAATCTGGCCAATGATACCAAATCACCGGCATTTGGATCCAAAATTGACGTCTCAAGATCCCAAATTTGGGCCGAGCCGTTCAAAATATTCTCAATGGAAATCCAGTCATTTAAAACTAAAGTACCAACCAACCAAGACCCTCCTGAGAGCCCCACTAAGTAAGTTGAAGCTTGTAAAAGCCCTCCTAATGCGTTATTATTTGCATCTTCGAATCTTTCATCAAGAGCCAAGACAGACCCTGCACCTGCCAACATAGCTCTATAACCACCGCCTGAAAAAGCCAACCCAATTGTGATGTTGTGTTCATCGGAATTGTCATTGATGAATGATTCGGCATCAAAGTCACTCAAGTTGGCTCTGTTGTTTAAAAAGTTGATTAAATATTTGTTTGTCTGCTCCTGTTTAGCCTCAATGTAATTCTTTTCATTGTCGGATAATCCATCCCCCTCACGTATGAGAGCAGTTTCAGGGCATGTGACATTGACTGGAGAATACGGATTGGCAACACCGTCTCCATCTGCGTTCAGTTGAGTTTCGTCTGTGGTTTGCGATTGAGACGAGCCTGTACTTGACCCACCACCGAAAATCCCCCCAAGCCAACCTTCTATTCCACCTTCCGAAGTTGTCGATGAAGCGGAGGATGTAAGCGATCTAGAACCGGATGAGCTCCGTTGTGAGGTGGTTGAAAGTGCTGATATGCTGCTGACCAGCGTTGAGCTAGGTCCTCCTCCAAATAAATTAGAATACCGTGCTTGGCTGGATGAGGGGGAATTAGAGTTTGTTGTTGTAGCTGCTACAGTTTGTGACAGTGTGGCTTGTTGTAGTCCAGTTGACGAAGCTTGCGATGAGGTGCTGGAGCCACCTCCAAAAATTCCCTCCCACCATGGTGTAGAGGGTGTTGCACCTAGTGTATTTTCTTCATCATTAAAGGGCCATACTGCAAAAGCTGTAGCAAGTAAATAAAAATATAGTAGAAAGTGATTTTGCATTTTTGGTTGATGAGAGCAAAAGATGTAATAGACGAGTAGTCGGACTTACTTGTATATATATATATATATACACACATATAGATTTATAGACTTGCTAGAGCCATGCTACAAGAATTTCTTGGGTTGCGAGTCTTGTATTGAAAGCATATAACTTCTTTACCCCGTTTGGGGAATTAATCGAAGGTTGCTATGGGGGTACAGTACCGAAAAGACACAAACTGCAGGTCGGATTAAGTGTTTATGTAGGGTCGATTAAAATTTTCAAAGTTTTTCCCTTCTTTCTTTTTTGTTAATCTACGAATGAAGATTGTCAAGGAACTAAAACACCGCGAAACAGACAAAGAATACCCACCTCGTTTCGATATTTGTTGCTGTGAAACAAAGGATTTCCGTAGTTTGCAAGATGAAAATTTCCAAGAATAGGGAAAAAAAGACATATTTGCAGGGAAGACAAATAATAAAAGTTGACTGCTTCTAGCCACAATTCCACTAACTAAACCTTCACCTACGTCAATGTGCCACAAATCATTCAAGCTAAAGAAACAGTACGTCCTCTTTAAACAAAGAGGGCTCAAAACCAACCCCGTTGCAAAAGGCTGAACTTGAAAGAGCGTCTTTAAGAGCTTACAATAGAAGTCAAATTTCCTAATTAGGAAAGATTATTATTCAAGAAAAAAAGGTTCTTTTGTGGCGTAGTTCAAATTAGACACATGCTTTAGAACCAATACCAACATCAAAGTTCTCTGTGTGTCATATGAGAATTACATACGGTAGTGGGAGATTAAGGAGCATGAAACAGGCTAGAAATTATTGCAGTCAATGATTCGCCATTATGCAACTAATTTTAGCGACTATTTTTCACATGTGTGGAACGTTCATATGCAAAATTGAGCTTAGTTAGGCTACATTATTGTTCTAGGCCTACTAAGCTAGAGAGAAGGCGGTGCAGAGGTTGTCAATGTTGCTCCTCTCTCAAACATGACAGTCTCTAGTGGCCTTGCTTGGAAAGCCTCCCCCCTTTGGGCATTCTCCTCTGTCCTTTCAGCGAACGTCCGCTATTGCTCTTGTAAAACCAGTTTCTTATTAAGAGTTATGAAAATCTCTACAATACAATCTGAAATCAACAAATTTACAATTAAACCGTATCAACTATAAATCTATTGAGAGAAACTTTCCAACAAAATGTTTCTTTCGTCAGAGTCTTGTCCCCAGTTCTTGATAACAACACATGAAGCACCAACAACCTTTCTAGCATTTCCTTCTTGGTCCAATTTACATAAACCAGCCCATTCACCAAGGAGCTTGGCGTCAGAGACTTTGATGAGTGGAATCTTCTCTTCTGGTTCGTTACAGAGAGCTTCAATCAACTTAATGATGGCTTCCTCGGTAACTGAGTCACAAAGAACACAGAGTTGAGCTTCACGCTTGGACAAAGCTCTTGAAGCTTCACGTAAACCTCTAGCAAGACCATCGTGGACCAATGAGTTTCTCAAGACAACCTTCAAAGCATCTTCAATTGAAACTGATGATTCAGCAACAACTTGTTCGGTTTCAACTTCAACTTCGATATCAGACATTGTTAATTTCTAAATTAATTTTATATGATAATACTGCTCTGAACCTTTTTCCGTAACGGTGGGTCTTCGTCGTCAAGTTTTATCTTGGAGGCAAAAAGTGTATAAAGTAAAAGCTGTGAAGATGATTATTTTTCAGCATTGTCGCATCGAGCGAGAGCGAGAGAGAGAGAGAGAGAGAGAGAGAAAGGAAAAAAAATTGTGTTTTAGGGCTACCGCCCTGAGGTGATTTTGTGCACGTGATGAGATCTGAAGTGTTGTATATTTACAATTGCCGGGAATAGCCAATGCAGTTTATGGGGGTATTCCTTGGCTAGTTGAGCAGAGGCTCTGTCTGGTTTTGATATTTACCTTCATGACAAACTTCCGTTGTTGGGCTTTCAGCGTGTGGATCGCATGTAAATGCTCACCTGTTATAAACTAGAAAGAGTTGGCTATTATAATTGAATAAAAAAGAACTACGTAGTTATGTTAATGTTATATCATGGTCAGGCACTTCTGGGTATTTTGCTGAAACTTTTCTCCATTTTTGGAATAAATTGGTTGCAAAACTTGACAAAAAAAGCAGTGCAAAAAATTGTTTAGATTAATAGGTATTTGGATTACACTTAAGCTTGGCATTTAACCACGTCTAAATAAAGCGCTGCAATAACAGAAGTGTTTTTCATTACTCGTTGGACTCTAAAATGGGCCATCGTTAAACGAGTTGAATCCCACCATAAATTGACAAAGAAAAAGCAAACACCCCTTTTGTGTATGACAACATCCAGCTTCAATCGAAGGTCCTACAAGTGGTACGTTTTAAATATTTAACACATTAGATATTACACAAAGTACTATATTTAAATTATGACCTCTTAGTAGATCACAACTCCATTTCTTCTGCACCAAATGGAGCATGGCTGTCGTCCATGTCTTCGTCACTGTCGATCGCATTATCGCTGATACTCTCATCGTGTTGTTCACGTAAAGCCGCCAAGCTAGTTCCAGACCCGCCTCCAACAATACCTCCAATAACAGACGACCTCTTGGGTGGTATGACTGGCTGATTGTTTCGATCGTACTCATCTTCCTCGTCTTCAAAATCAACATCAAAAAAATCGTCCGTGGTTCCTGTTACTCTCTGGTATAAGGACTTCACGTCCGTTATAACTCCATCATATGACAATTCAGCGCTCGGGGTGTTTGTAAAGAATATTTGATCTTGCGCGTCAGGAGTGTCTCTGTAAACGATATTGTTTTCCTGGCTTGGCTTAAATATGTTTGACAAGTCATTGGCAATGTACGTTTTTTCAACATACCCCATCTTACAAACAACTTCTAATTTTTCTTGGGGAAGAAAGTTTTGCAAGTGAGAACCCAATTTGAAGGAGTTTGCCAAAACTGGGGTTCCTTCTTGGTTAACGACAAAGTCCGTTTCGTCTAGAATCCCATCAATGTCGTTTGAAGACTCCCTCAACAACGACGACTCCATTTTGGAATATGCCGACTCTAAATCGCGCTTAGCACGACTCAAGTCCTGTTCAACCGTTTGACTGAACCATATAGATTGGCCCTCGGGACAAACGCCTGAAGCGCCATTCTGTATCATCACTTGGACCGAATATTCATTCGCAGTGGGCAAGGAATGAGGAGGGAACACCACAATAGCCAGTGACTCATTTTGCGATATCCATTCTTTGCAGTCGCGGCGTACTACTGTGACCAACCTTGTAACAAAATGTGGCTGCAACCCCTCGGTGACTTGATTGTAGCTTGATTGTAGGAACTTGGGCAACTGAGTGGGCGAAATAATAACCTTTTCATTGATCTTTATATGCGAGCCATCGTCAAAATGAGCTATTTTCGACATGGGGTCAAAATCAACCAAACTTGTGTTTAATTTATAAGTTGTACCTGCAACTGCTGCACTACGACAAAAGCCTTGAGCCAACTCGCCCGGACCTCCGAATTTTGACACCATGCAAGGGAATTTACCATAGACGTCAAAGGACGACAAAAATCGTTTGATTTTAATGAGCGCCTCCTTTGTACTAATATCCTCTTTGTAACTTAATCCAATCGAGAACACCAATTCATTTATTTGAGGATCCTCAAGTTTAAACTCCTCTCTCAAAAACTTCTGAATAGGTTCATTTGCATATGGCTTTACCTTTTGCTTGTAGTCTGAATCCAATAAAATAAACTTCAAAAATTTCATCAAATATCTCTTTGTGATGAGCGACAAGGACTTGTCGGTGAATATATCCTGTTTGGTTGTAGCATTGACCTTTTGCTGAAAGTCGTCATTTTCAAATACGTGGAAATTGGATAAAGATTGGAACTCTAGGTAACGGTAGACACGTGACTTCACCAACAAGGTCAACAAATCTGACTGGCAAAACATAATCTTGGGCGTCAAGTCAATGCCATAATCCCTTGAGTTAAACTGATTGTTCAACTTACCACCTGGAATGTAAATTTGGGCATCTTGAAAGTGTGGAATTTTACCCTGGTTGACGTCAGCACACCACTTCTTCAATTGTTCAATAGTCATGGTTGAGGTTGAATCCCCGTAGTATGCCTTGTTATCAATATGGAGCACCTGTGTGCCCTGCCATGACAATGCGGCAGCCAACATACTCTCCTGGAGACCAGTGCCGATAATTAAAACATCACATTGATCAATTTTGAGGAACTGATCCTGGGGCTTCTCTAACCCCGCCAAGTGTGGAATGACAGGAGGAGTGTATGTAGTGCTAGGTCTACGCTCCGCCATTGACTTTCTTCTTTCAGTTCTGCTGTAGTTCATAGTTCTGGGACGAGTTTCACAAGGTGTAGGTTTTTCTTTTTATCTTGGATGGGGTCTAGGTCATAAACCTCTAATCCGGTTGATCACTATTCTGATTAATTATTTCTTGTGAAATTCCTAGCTCTTTCAAACTAAATAATGGTATATCTCGTGCTGTTTTTCAATGATAATTGCTTTGAGGTTTTGTTATGTCGTTTAAGTTCGGGTATCGTGGATGAGTCGTCGCTAAACACTACCCAGTCAACTTACTTTTAACAATTTTTTTTCTTTTGTATTGACCTCTTTTGTTGATAAAAATAAAAAAATTTTTTTTTTCTTGTTTTTATTTCTAAATTAGGTGCGTCAACACGTTGCATGGGGCAAATGAGCGAGACAAAGGGTTCACTTCTTTTGGCATGGCAAGTGAGGGGCAAGCATTGTCTTGTGATTGGAGCTGGAGATGTGGCACTTTCTAGGATACACCATTTGATTGTAGCTCAAGCTAGGATAACGGTCGTGACGGGTGTGACCAAGGATGTTCATCCAGAGATCCTAGATTTAAATTCACAAGGTAAGATTCACAACTTGATTTTAAGAAACTATGAAAGTGAAGATCTACGAATGTATGAGGATACAACACTGAAGTTGGATTACACAAAAATTGGCCCGGGAGATTACGAAGAAGTTTCATGTCTTATAAATGAGACATTTGCTTGTGTGTGCTGTTGCATCGATGACTACGAATTGAGTACCAAGATATATTATCAATGCAAGTTACTTCGCTTACCTGTGAATATAGCAGATAAACCGCCATTGTGCGATTTCTACTTTGGAAGCATGATTAACCAGGATAATTTGCAAATAATGATTAGTACAAACGGAAAATCACCCCGGTTGTCGAAACTTATAAAGGACAACATCGCTAGAGAATTTGCAGGCGTGGATGTGAATAATGCTATTGAAAACTTGGGGTTGATAAGATCGCGGTTAAGGGAATTGATATTGATAGATGACGATTTAGTCACTATTGATACACGTATGTCTTGGATCAAGAATTTAACAGATTTCTTCACTATTAGACAGTGGAGCAGCATAAAACTAACTCCAGAAGGGTCAGACTCAGAGTACAAGCAAGTTGATAAAATAGTCAACTGCTTTCCCAATTACCCTCCTCGTGAATTTGATGAGTTTGTAAAATTTATATGTACATAAATACACACTAGATATCTTCGTGCACAAACAACTTGTTTCTACCTCCGCCTACATATTCTCCAACTATATGGCCATCGCCCTTCAACTGGTATTGATAGCTCATCAACCCTTCTAAGCCAACCGGACCCCTTGCATGGATCTTGTTGGTACTGATTCCCACCTCAGTTCCAAATCCGTATCTAAAGCCATCTGCAAATCTAGTGGAGGCGTTCCAATAGATACCAGCAGAGTCAATACTCTTCAAAAACAAGTTTGCCGTGTCTTCGTTCTCAGTTATAATACACTCCGTATGTTTAGATGAGTGTTTGTTTATATGATCAATTGCGTCTCTGACGTCATCGACAAATTTCACCGATATATCTAACGAGAGATACTCCTTATCAAAAGCATCATCGTCAGCATCCACAACATAATCCTGGTTCAAGTCTTTAACCAATGACTTCAATTCGGGTGCTACATGAACTGTGACCTTCAGGTCGACTAAAGCCTTGATGAGATTCTTTACTTCGCTTCCAGCAATATCCTTATTAATCAACAACTGCTCAACAGCATTACAACCTGCAGGATAGTTTGTCTTGGAGTCAACAACGATCCTACTTGCCTTTACAGGATCAAAGTTGGCGTCAACGTAGATGGAACATATACCATCAGCATGGCCCAAAACGGGAATTTTCGTGTTCGACTTGATATTACGCACAAGCTCATTCGAGCCTCTAGGGATCACCAAGTCGATGTATTTGTCCTGGTCCAATAAATCGGCCACATCCTCCCTACTTTCAATCAATTGGATTGCTTTGGAGGGAACTTTGGTGTCGGCCAATGCCTCGCTAACAATGTTACTCATAACTTTAAATGTCTGGTAAGACTCCTTTCCTCCTTTTAATATAGCTGAATTTCCCGACTTGATTGCCAAAGCCGTGATATTCGCAATTACCTCTGGCCTGCTTTCAAAAATAATCAACAAGACCCCAATTGGAGCTGTCACCCTATACAAGTTTAAGCCCTCATCGATCTTTTTGGCCAAAGTCACCTTCCCCACTGGATCGGACAAGTTAGCTACATCCAATATACCCTGGAGCATCGAGTCGAACTTTCCTGGGTTGGCTAAGTCTAGCCTCTTTATTAATGACGATGCGAGATTCTTGGCTTTGGCATTTTCCAAATCTAGCTTATTAGCCTCGAGAATAGACGACTTATGTTCCTTTAAAGACTTGTAAATCTTTTCCAATGCTTGTGATCTCTCGGTGTTTGTAAGCACCTTAAGCTGGGCAAAGGCCGTATTTGCCTCCTTTGCTATCGCTTCTCCTGACATGGCTTGGAAGGATTAGATATGCTATGAAGCTGAAAACGAAAAAAAGAGTTGAGTCACTTCTGCAAAAATCATTATATCGCGCTACCATCTACATTAACTCACTAACAAATAGTGAAAAGCCGTTTGAAGGGTGACGAATATAGTTATAAAGTTAGTTTATTATATTGCAATGAACGTTCTCTGTGAAGCTCTTTTGCTAACTCTACATAGCCCCTACTGCATTCTCTGTACTAGTGCTGACTGTCACTGGTCTGGTCTAAAAATAAATTGGGCCAAGTATAACACATATGGTGACGTACTACTGTGCGACTGAAGAGAAAAGAGAAAAAAGAAAAAGAAAGACAAACATATTTTTTCGTGTCTCTTTTGATTTGAACAGTTCAGACAGAGAACAGCGCGAGTATCAAAACATTCCCACATTTGACAACTCATCAACATTAACTAGATTCTTCGTTGCAGTCACACAGCTTATACCCCTCCCATTAAGCGACATGTCTGGTCACAAAGGTTCTGCAAACTCGCAGATAAACAACAATCCCTTTTCAGATGACGAAAACGACTTGATAGACCTTGACTTGACGAATCCTTACGCAAACTATAACCCACAGCATGAGTACCCACAAGTGCAAAACTCGAGCCGGGGGCAGCCGATATCCAACCCATTTAACGACCAATTTGTAATATCTGACGACGAGGAGGAAGAAGTGGCTGTTCCCAATGGAAAGCCACCGAGGCCCACAAACAGGCGTAATTCATATTTGAGCTCCAATAACGATTTACTGTCAACCGCTGATTTTATAGGAACCAACAATAATGACTACGTAAACTTGAATAAGGAACAGCCTCGAGATTTTGACATAAGGCATATCTTTCAAAGAGTCAAGAGTAAGATTACCGGCCGAAGCCCGACCATCAGCGACAGGAAGCCAAAAGAACCTAGGGAAATATTTATTATGGATCATAGTGCTAACGCTGGGCTTGGATACTATGGCAATTACATTTCGACAACAAAGTACAATTTCGCTACATTCTTGCCAAAATTTTTATTCGAGCAGTTTAGCAAGTATGCAAACTTGTTCTTTTTGTTTACTTCCATTATCCAACAAGTGCCCCATGTGTCACCGACCAATCGATACACGACTATTGGTACTTTAATTGTGGTATTGTTTGTGTCGGCAATTAAGGAGATTCTGGAAGACTTGAAGCGAGCCAATGCCGACAAGGAACTAAATAATACTCGAGTTTTGGTGCTTGATCCAGTTTCCGGTGACTTTGTGTTGAAAAAGTGGGTCAAGGTTCAGGTTGGTGATGTTGTTAGGGTGAATAATGAGGAACCATTTCCTGCCGATTTGATTTTAATCAGCTCGTCCGAGCCAGAAGGGCTCTGTTACATAGAGACTGCTAATCTTGATGGAGAAACCAACTTGAAAATCAAGCAATCAAGAACAGAAACAGCCCATTTGAAAAGTCCAAGTGAACTAGTACGAGGGTTATCAACCGCAAAAGTAATGTCGGAACAACCAAATTCGTCGTTGTATACATACGAGGGGATACTCAAGGGTGTAGAGAACAGCCGAGATATTCCGTTGTCTCCTGAGCAACTATTACTAAGAGGAGCTACGTTGCGTAATACGCAGTGGGCCAATGGGATTGTAATATTTACTGGTCATGAAACAAAGCTAATGCGGAATGCTACCGCAACTCCTATAAAACGAACTGACGTGGAGCGAATAATTAACCTCCAAATCATTGCTTTATTCTGCGTGTTGATTGTTCTTTCCTTGATTTCGTCAATAGGAAATGTCATTAAAACAAAGGCCAATAGTGGTGACTTGGAGTACTTGCACTTGGAAGGAACTTCATTGGCCAAATTGTTTTTCCAAGATTTGTTGACTTATTGGATATTGTTTTCGAATTTGGTGCCCATTTCGTTGTTTGTAACGGTTGAGTTGATCAAGTATTATCAGGCATTTATGATCGGAAGTGATTTAGACATGTATTATGAGGAATCCGATACTCCCACAGGGGTCAGGACATCCTCTCTTGTTGAAGAGTTGGGACAAATCAATTACATCTTTAGTGACAAAACTGGTACATTAACACGTAACGTTATGGAGTTCAAAGCTTGTTCGATTGGCGGACGATGCTATATTGAAGAAATTCCCGAAGATGGACACGTGCAGGTTATAGATGGCATTGAAATTGGCTATCACACATTCGACGAGTTGCGGTCTGATTTCACCAATAGCTCTTCCCAACAGTCGGCAATTATCAACGAATTCCTCACTTTGTTAAGCACATGCCACACTGTGATCCCTGAAGTTGATGGCGCCAACATTAAATACCAAGCAGCTTCTCCAGACGAAGGTGCATTGGTTCAAGGTGCCGCCGATTTGGGATTCAAATTTATTGTGCGTCGGCCAAAGACTGTTACTGTTGAAAATACCCTTACAAGAATGAAGTCTGAATACGAGTTACTAAACATTTGTGAGTTCAACTCTACAAGAAAGAGAATGTCGGCAATCTTTCGCTGCCCCGATGGGGTCATCAGATTATTTTGTAAAGGTGCTGATACTGTCATATTGGAGCGCCTTTCACAAGAAGAGCCACAACCATTTATTGACTCTACATTGAGACATTTGGAGGATTTTGCAGCCGAAGGATTAAGAACCCTTTGCATTGCGTCGCGCATTGTTTCTGAAGAAGAATATCAACAATGGAGTAAAAAATACTACGATGCTTCCACGTCATTACAAGACCGTAGCGAAAAGATGGACGCTGTTGCCGAACTCATTGAGACTGACTTGTTCCTATTGGGTGCAACTGCCATTGAAGATAAATTGCAAGACGGGGTGCCGGAAACTATACAAACGTTGCAGGATGCGGGTATCAAGATTTGGATTCTAACAGGTGATCGACAAGAAACCGCTATAAACATTGGTATGTCTTGTAAATTGCTAAGCGAAGACATGAATCTTTTAATCGTGAACGAAGAAACGAAAACAAACACGAGGCTAAATCTTCAAGAAAAATTAACGGCAATTCAGGAACATCAGTTTGATGGCGAAGATGGTTCTTTGGAGTCTTCGTTGGCATTGATTATCGACGGCCATTCTCTTGGGTTCGCTTTAGAGCCAGACTTGGAGGATTTGTTGATTGAGTTGGGATCGCGGTGTAGAGCCGTTATATGCTGCCGTGTTTCCCCCTTGCAGAAAGCCCTTGTTGTTAAAATGGTAAAAAGAAAGAAGAAACAGTCCTTGCTTCTTGCCATTGGTGATGGTGCAAATGATGTATCAATGATTCAAGCTGCTCATGTAGGTGTCGGAATAAGTGGAATGGAAGGCATGCAAGCTGCAAGAAGTGCGGATGTCTCCATAGGACAATTCAAGTATTTGAAAAAGTTGTTATTAGTGCATGGATCTTGGTCGTACCAGCGTATCTCCAATGCCATATTGTACTCGTTCTACAAAAACATAGCCTTGTACATGACACAGTTTTGGTTTGTTTTTGCCAATGCATTCTCAGGTCAATCAATTGCGGAGTCGTGGACGCTCACATTCTACAATGTGCTTTTTACCGTGCTTCCTCCAATTGTCATGGGGGTATTTGATCAATTTGTAAGTGCAAGGCAGTTGGTAAGGTATCCACAATTGTATCAGTTGGGACAACAGCGAAAGTTTTTTAACGTCGCTGTGTTTTGGAGCTGGATTGTGAATGGGTTTTACCATTCAGCGGTGATTTTTCTTTGCTCATTTTTCATCTACAGGTACGGCAATGTAATGTCTAGCGGCTTGACAACTGACAACTGGGCCTGGGGAGTTGCTGTATACACTACGTGTACCTTAACAGCGTTGGGTAAGGCTGCTTTGGTGGTGACATTGTGGACAAAATTTACCTTGATTGCTATTCCTGGATCCTTCCTCTTGTGGTTAGCATGGTTCCCTGCGTATGCGACTATTGCTCCATTGATAAATGTTTCTGACGAGTATAGAGGAGTGCTAGCTGCTACTTACCCTTTGCTTACATTCTGGGCAATGGTATTCGGGGTGTCAGTCTTGTGCTTATTAAGAGATTTTGCTTGGAAGTTTTACAAAAGGCAGACCAGTCCCGAGACCTATCACTATGTGCAAGAGATCCAAAAATACAACATACAGGACCAGAGACCACGTATGGAACAATTCCAGAAAGCGATCAGAAAAGTCCGCCAGGTGCAAAGAATTAAGAAACAGAGGGGATTTGCCTTTTCACTGGCAGAGGGAAATGACCAGGAGAAGTTGATGCGGTTGTACGATACTTCGAAGCAAGCGGGTGTATAGGATGTATAAGAAAGCAAGTAGATAATTAGCTTTCATTGTAGCATTGAAAGAAGAGAAAAAACGATAATAAGATATTTAACCAATCTGAGCATTTCATCCACGTGTTGCATATAGAACATTGTACACGAAACATTAGTGGACGATAAAAATAGAGATTGGTTGCAAACACACCAAGACATAATGTGAAGAACTTATTGTTCATTTAATGGTTCCCACAACGATGCCTGTGTGGAAATAAAAAGACAGAGGCGTTGACAAGCAAAGCTGCTCTTTAAACAGGAAGTAGATTTCTCTACCTCAATAAAGAGAGATCATTCAATGTTTATATATATTAAATTTATAACACTAACCACCAAGGTAATACGAATTCCGGTTAGGTATACAACCGAGATCAATTCTAAAGAAAAAAAAAAAATAATATAATAAAGCTATACAAACGTTTCTATGGAGCATTAGTACATTCCCAATCAGTAGGCTCATAAGCATCAGGTTGGTCAACTAGCACTACTTCTTCAGGAGTCAATTCAAAATCATTGACATCCAAATTAGGTTTCAATCTCGAAGGAGTTTTAGTCTTGGGTAATGGAATGTATCCCTTTTGCAACGACCATTTAATCAAAATTTGTGCTGGTGACTTGTTATACTTCTTCATAATTGCTTGGAAATTGGGGCTATCTTCTTGCAACTTGTATCCGTGGGTCAATGGTGCGTAAGCCTCCACGTGAATATCCTTACTCAAACACCACAGTGCCAAGTCTTGGCGCATGCACCAAGGACTTATCTCTATTTGGTTAATAGCCGGTGGTGTTTCGATTTCTGGATCTTGGAGGATCTCTTCAATGTGATGTTGTCCGTAGTTTGATACCCCGATATTTTTTACCTTACCTTCCTTCAATGCCTGTTCCATAACCTTGTAGCTTTCTAACCGTTTTTCTTTACCGGGTAATGGCGAATGAATCAACAACAAGTCAATGTACTTCAATGGTCCTATTTGCTGCATCATAGTACTAATTGCTTTTTCGGTATTGGTTTTCCCAAGTTGACTATTCCATAATTTCGTGGTGTAAAATACATCTGAACGTTTGACTTCTGGGTGTTCACTCAAATATTTGGCAATACCGTCAATAACCTCTTGTTCGTTTCCATAGAGTACAGCAGTATCGAAATGGCGATATCCGGCATCCAAAGCTTCATACACGAGCTTGCTGGTTTGTGCTGTAGGGATATTGTAGCATCCTAAACCAATTGATGGGATTTTGTTGCCACTGTTTAATTGAATGAGTCTGTATGACATGATGTAGTTGTTTTTGGATACTTTCTCCTAGCTGTGCTGGCATCGACAAGTCAATCTTAACTCTTATATAGTCTAGCTTTCCTAATCATTGAATTGCTATCGAAAGAAAATGCTCCGAAGACCTTCAATACTGAGGTCAGGATGCAAGACAATACTGAGGTTGTGATGTTTATTGTTCTTGCCTTTGCTGTTCCTTCTAGAAGAGACTACAAAATTTACACAATTATAACCATTGCTCTCGGTAGCTATTACAATAGTTATGCAATTGTCCCCATTTTACCGATTTGTGCGTGTGTGTGTTTATTTGTATGCCGGACTTCCATTTAAAGATTCTGCATAATGCACTTGTGAGTATGCACGTCAATCAAACACTACAGTAAGGTGCCCATAGTCAAGATCCAGAAATTCGAATTATAAAGCGCAGTAACCTGGCATTTTTGACGAGAGACAAATGTATCTCTGGATAGAGGCAGTATTGTATAGTTTACCAATTCTCTCCATTCCGACGCCTCTTCAAGTATATTAAATAAAGGCTCAAAAATATGTTGCAAAAGTCCCATAGTTAGGAGCCATTCTGCAACTCAATGGCCAGACCTACTGTGGCTTCCCAAAGACCTCGATTGTGATCATGATAGTCTTTATGACAACATATTCAAAACTCAGCCCCATACAATTATTTGTCTTTGTTTTTTCAAAGTTTTGCAAAACTTTACGTACAAAATTTTGTATTGGGAACACCAATAAATGGATTGGTGCTTGCACTATACCTACATACCTTGTGTTTTCAAAATATGTTATTAAGTAGAGAATTATCTTTTCAGCGGTATATTTTAGACCTGTAGAAGAGGAAATTGAAGATGCGTCTTAACTATGGGAATATTTTCATTGGCCCATCTACTAACCTTAATACAACGTCAGCAAGTTCAAACTTTGCAACTCACATTACCATGATATAGCCTATCTACATGCTTCTTAAATGGGTAGTTACTTTCGTACGTTGTAGTTTCGTCCGTGATTGATGATCTCACTGTATGACAATAATAATTTACTACGTATAAAAGCTTCTCTGCCATTTCACGCGCAGAATGACACTAAATTTTCCCTCCTTTTGCCTGTCTATATATCCCAAACATGCAACAACCAAGTCATACACAGCCGGCAATCACATTTGATGATTATGTGCATTATGCTGCCCCCAAATCCTCCAATATCAGAGCCGTATTTCCACCAGCTGCGGTGACTTTAGGGAGAAACGCTTTTGATAGATATGGAGACCAAATTTCAGATTTTGAAATCATCTCCTGCAACGGTGATCGCATACCAGTATCAATGGCCACTTTGATCGACCGATGGGGGAAATACTTTGTATCATTGCTTTCGAAGGGGTATGTTCTGGCGGTTGAGGATTTTGAATCTGAAAAGAGTCAGGAACTGAAGTCGAAGGAGACCTTGGGAAAGACTCACGTTGACATTCCCCGTTTTAGAATCCCATTTCAAGAATCAACGGAATCAGTGGGTGATGCATATTCAGATGATACCAATCGAAGGTCCATTTGGTCAATGTCGACAGAGTCACAACAATCAAGAAACAATTCAACCAACGAGAGTCAACGCAAGGATTCAGTGCCCACTTTTCAACACGAAAGCTTATTCATCGATGATATTCCACCACAACTACCACCGCCAACAGAACCAATTCCAGCAGTGCCAAGTTCCCCAAGAACATCATTTAGGCCTGGAAGTTCTCCCAGAGCTTCATTGTTGAACACATTGTCAGTTTTGCGTCGTATTAGTAATGATAACGGTGTAGGTAATGACGGCTATGATATTGGTAGTGGCGACAATGGTGGTAGTGGCAATAATGGCGGTAATAGCAGTAATGATGGTGATGATAATGGTGGCGGTGATAATAACACTGGTGATGATGAGGAAGAAGACGACGATTATCACCCGCTTTTTGGTTTTGAAGAAGAAAGATTCCCCTTGGAGCCATCTTTGATACCGCGTAAGCTATACATTCCGTTTTCTACCAACACAGTAAAGGCATTTTGTGAGTTCTTCTACACAGGTCAAGTGGGGAATAAATGGGCATTAGCGCCAACGTTGTTAGACAATTTAGTCATTGCCAAATTTTACCGTGTGCCATTGTTGTATGACTTGATTTGTGAGGTGTTGCTTGACGTGATACGAAGAAGAGAGAGTGTGTTGTTGAAGGAACTACCTAACGCAGAGGAATACGCCCAAGTTGTTGAATCCATAGACAACGGCATCGTTAGTAAGACATGGTTGAGGCAACTATGCGAGAGCACTGAGCCTGTGCGTGAGCTGGACGGAGAAACAATGGCATATTTGGATGTGGAGGACTTGAATACACCTGCACTCAGATTCAAGTCAGTATTTGATAAGTCTGTGCCGATGCAATCAGAGAGCAAGAGTGAAGAGATGCCTGATGAGTCTAAAAACAAAATGAATACAATAACTGTTGAAGAATTGGTAAACCCAGACTCACCATGCCCCTCTGATCAAGTGATTGAGGTGATTCACGAGGCCGCGACATTGGTAACTGAAGTGAGGATTGTTTTAAGAACGATGATGTTGTTGAAATATACAGATAAGAAGAGTTGAGTTTGCAGCAATCTATATATGGTTTTGTAGTTACATATATACTTATCTGGTTAAATATGTAATTGTAAAACGAGTCGTTGCAGCCATGACAGTTTGCGCTTTTGTACTTTGCTTTTTTAATTATTTTCCCAATTAATATTAAAACTGTCCTAATTAGGAAAATACAAATACAAAAATAATAAATAAACAAAACAGCAATCAAAACAATTATTTTTCTCTCTTTGTGTAACTTGTGTATTCAAACAACCAAAAAGAAGGTGTGGGACGAAATTATATGTCACACTGTGGAACTTGGGCACTATAACCTAGGGACTAGCCATTGAGCCACAGACGCACTGAAATTGGATCCTCTGCTATCTTAATGTTTAAAGTATTTCACTCCAGAAGATAGAAATACTTGCGAAAGGTGTGCCCTGTTGGTAGAGCTTTAAAGGAGCAAGCACGTCATAGTTGTCATTGGCTTCTGCGTCTATATTCTACATTAACCTACGTCTCTAAACCACACACACACACACACACACAGACACGCATGTTCACATTAAATACTTTTACTATCTTTCTATTTTTGCTGTTGTTTAATTTTTGTGACAATAGCGAAAATTCCAAGTCACTCAAAATTTTAAAAAATTCCATTTGTTCTTCGAAAACTCAATTCCATTTTCAATTTCAATTGCATTTTTCTTCTTTCACATTTTTTCTTTTGGTCAATTCGACTACTCTTATCACAACAGTTAACAATGTCAGAGACTGCTGCAGTGAATTCAACAGCTGCTAAGAAGCAGCCTCCTCAAAGTAGATTAAAGCAGTTGACTAGTGCCTCCTCGTGGGTCTCTCCCTTTAGAAGTCAAGCCGACGAACAAGATGCCAAATCCAAGAAGAAGGTTAATTTGTATAAGCAATTCAAGGATGACAACAAAGTTGAACACATCAAGGTCCCTGCCAAGTTTGCCCACCATCCTACTTTAGAAGCTGAAGCAAAAAAGAAGAAGAAGCAAGCAAAGTCGACAAACTCAACAAAAAAGACTGGAGACGAAAAGGCAAAGAAGACAACAGACGACAAGGCTAAAACAGAGGAGCAGAAGCTCGAGGATGAGTCAAAGGAAAAGTTGGTAACCGATGAGCCATCTACCGCTGCTGCAGAGGAGCAAAACCTCGAGGATGAGTCAAAGGAAAAGTTGGTAACCGATGAGCCATCTACCGCTGCTGCAGAGGAGCAAAACCTCGAGGATGAGTCAAAGGAAAAGTTGGTAACCGATGAGCCATCTACTGCTGCTGCAGAGGAGCCAAAGGGGAAAGCAACCACCGACGAGGGATTGGAAAGAAAGCAAACCAACGAGTCCAGAGAAACATTGCTTAAGGATGAAGATCAAGCCGAAGATCCTTCAGAAAAGGCAAAAGAGGACTTTGAAGCAGCCGAAGCCGATATTGAAAACGCCAAAAAAGAGGCTGATGATCAAGAAGCCCAAGTTGAACAGCACTTGGAAGGTGACGACGAGATTGTCGAAAATATCAAGGAAAACCCAGTTGATATTTCATCTCCACCCCAAACAAAGTACGAACCTGTTGAGAAACCAAACAAGGAAATTTTGGAGAAATTAAAAGACAAGCCAGTCTTGTTAAAACACTACCAAGAATTGAATGCCACAGCCGTTGGGTCTCTTGCAAATGACTTAGATGACCCCAAGAAGGTTATTGAGTTGGGTTCTGGTTTGAGGATGACTCAAGCTCAATTGTTGGATATGGCAGCAAAGAGAGTTGCCCCAGTGATTACTTCAATCAATGACGAAGTTTCTAAAACTAGACAGGAGGATGAAATCAAGAGACAACAAATCTTGGACCAAAAAGTAAAGAAGCACGAAGGAAAGTTGAAATCTGATTTTGACAAGTATGCAGCAAAGGTGGCCAAGAGGAAAGAAACTTTTAACCATGAAATTGAACGCAAATTGGCCGACATTGCTAACTTGGTTAAAACCTCCGACGACAATGCTGCAAAGTTTGAAAAAAAGACCAAAGATGAAATCGAAACAGCAGCCAAAGAGTACGAAGAACGTGAAAACAAGGCCGTTGAAAAGCACGCTTCTGATAAGGAAACCATTGAAAAGAATCATGACGAGTTAATAGCAACCAAAAAGCAAGAGTTGGAGGACGCCAAAACGGGACAAGAGACGGCTGCTCAAGAGATTGAAGATTTGAAACAAAAAAGGATTGACTTTACTGAAAAGAACTCCGAATTGGACACCGAAATAGAACGGTTAAAGAGTAAGTTGGAGGAGGAAAAGGCCAAGTTACAAGAATTGAGGTCTCAACATGATTCTCATCAAGATGCAATTGAGGTAAACCAAAATCAAAGCAAAGAGTTGAATGAAAAGATTGGTGGTTACCAAAAGGATATTGATGACAAAAAAACCACCCACAAGGGCTTGGTTGCTGAAGTTGGAGTTTTGGGTGCTGCTTTGGGTGCATTTGCAGCAAAATTAGCCGATGTCAACTCAGATAAAACGGACAGGACTGAGAGGCTCACTGAAGCAAAGAATAAGCACATTGCTTGGCAAAAAGATAAGGATCACTTTGCTGAAGAGGCTGCAAGAGAACATGAACGTCAAAGAGCGCAAGCAACCCAAGAGTACGAGACCAGAAAGCACCAAGAGGAGTTGGAAAGAAAGAGACAAAAGGAAGAGCAGGAAAGACTTGAAAAGGAAGAGCAAGAGAGGCAAGCCAAGTTGGAAGAAGAGGAAAGAAAAAGACAAGCTCAGTTAGAGGCCGAGGAAAAAGAAAGACAGGCCAAACTCGAGGAGGAAGAGAGACAAAGAAAGGCTGAAGAAGAAGCAAAGGCCAAGGAACTCAAGGAGAAGCAAGAGAAGGAAGCAGCTGTTGCTGAAAAGCTCAGGCAAAAAGAAGCCAAGCAGAGGAATTTAGAAGAGGAAAGGAACAAGCATGATTCCATTTTCCAACAAGGTACCTACAGCGGTGATGAGTCAACCTACCAAAATGCCCAAAAGCAGAGGTTGGGGGATGAAATTACAAATTTGCAAAAGATTAAGGAGTTGAGAGAGGAGAGGGCTACTTTCACCGGAGAGGATCCAAAAAGTGATGACCTTGAGAAGTTGATCAAGGAAAGGCAAAAGGCGATCAAAAAGATTGAAAACAAGCAGTCACAAGCACCTTTAAAAGAACTGGCAGTAGCTGAAGAACCAACATCAAGTAAGAATTTGGTTGCTTCTGGCACTGGTGCTGCTGCCGGGACTGTATTTGGACAAGATTTGATTGAAAAACAATCGAAATTGCCAAGTGCACAAGAAAACCCAAGTGCCGACTACGACACGAAGAAGAAGAATGCTCTTTACGGCGATGCTGAAAAGTCAGTCCCAAAGATTGAGGATGATACAAAGAAGGAACCAAAAGATAAGAGGGCTGGTTTAGGATCTGCAGCTCTTGCAGCTGGTGCTGTAGGTGCTGGATCTGGTGCTGGAGTAGGAGCAGCAACCAAATCTTCTGAAAACGCTGCACCCTTGAGCAAAGAGAGATCAAATAGTCTTACTGACAGGTTTAAAGGATGGGGAAGAAGACTTTCCTCCAAAGACAAGATCCCAACTGAAAAGTCTAAAGAGAAGGCCCTAACTGCCTCGAAAGAACCAAGAGATAGCAATGTAGGTGTGTCCTCAAAGGACACTGACAACAAACCTGCCATTGTTTCCAAGAATGATACCGGAAAAGAGAACAACATAGCTGCTGCGCCCAAAGGTAATGACATAGTCGGAGGAGTCAATGCAAATGATATTGAAGACAAAACAGGCTCAGCGCGTGTAATTCCTAAAGGGAGTCAAACTATTGGTGGGGTGAATGCTAATGATATCGAATCAAAGGACACTCACGGTCACAGTGCCGCTATCGCAGCTGGCGCTAACCTGAACGATAGAGATGATTCATCCTGGGATGTTCACTCGGTATATGAACTCGTATCTGACGGCGAATTCGAAGCAAACAAGAATGATCCTAATTACTTTGCGGTTAATGAAGCCGACTACAATAAACACAAGGAGCTGGAGAAAAATTTTCATCTCTTCGATAAGATTCATTAATTTTAGTTTAATTTTTTATATCGTTTTTTTATTAATCAAATGTGATTTTCTTACCCGAGGACGGCACAATAGCCGCACTAGCTCTCTGAGCTGTAGCCAACGCAACTGACGACTTTTCTCTCTTTTGTGGCCTTTCTTGCGGTCTCTCTCTATACTGTCTCTTATTAACCTGTGGCGTGATTTCAGGGGCCTCACTCGCAAATTCCTGTCTTTCTTGCGTCTCGTTTTGTGTATGACTCTTTGGTCTCCTCTTGGATCTGTCTTCACCATATTCCAACCTTAGTTTCCTATTTAACATCGTTTTAGCAAGCTTTGAGTTCATTGCAGTGGTGGCGCCGTCTTCGTTCTTAAAATCGACAAAAGCAAAACCCTTACATTTACCAGTATCTTGAAAAGTTGCCATCCTGATCCTAGCAATTTCTCCACAATGCTGGAAATGCTCCTGTAGGTTATCTTCTGTTGTGTCAAAGCTCAAGTTACCGACAAACAAGATCCGGCTAGGTGGTAACTTGCTTTCTTTTTCAGGGCGACCTTCGAACGAAGTGGCATTTTTGATCAACAAGTTTCGTCCATTCAAATTCTGTTCACTTAGCTCTATCAATTTGTTGACTTGCTCTTCGTTTTGTACATCAACATAGGCAAATCCTTTAATCTGGTTACCCTTTTTAGGAACATTAACTCTGGTAATTTCATCTTCTTTCACTGATGACTTACCAACCAAGAACCGCACAAGATCTTCTTTGCTCGTGTCAAATGACAAGTTTCCTATCCAAACACCGTACTTTGATTTCTCGGCCTTCTGTTCTGATTCCTGTACAGTTGTAATTTTGGGGGCTGGCTCTTCCTCTAGTTTTCCCTTCTTGGCCAAACGTTTTTGTTTTTTAGACAAAGGAATAGATGCATTCAAGTCAATTTCCAACTCGTCAAAAGAATCTCCTTTCCTCTTTCTGGTTACTTGCTCGGAACTGGTCTCATCTGAATCGTGCTTGGTCATTGCTGGAGATGAGTAAGTGCATCGATCGCATCTCATTTGACCTTTTTTTTTTTTTTTTCTTTCCTTTTCTTTTCTTTTTTTACATGCTCTACGAGTAAAGCTCTATGCAATAGATTACAAGCTAAAAACAGATTAAATAAAGCTCAGCTATCCTCAACAAACTCAGACCATAACCACTTTCGCCACAACTCCCCTGACTCTGATATAATGTTGTCAATAAAATTTATCTTGTGTTTGTCGTTTCGCATATCATTGGATATGATGATGTTATTAATCGGTGTTTCTTCTTTTGGCAGAAGCGGTGGCGAGCCGTTCCTTGAAGTCGAATTCGAGTTAAACGTTTGACTTGATCGCTTTCTCGACTTTTGATTATATTTGTAAGATTTGGACGGGAGTCTCGATAGGAATTGTCTAATCTCGTGCTGGTCAAGTTCCACCAACGTGTTTTCTTTCGACTTGAGCAAAGATACCGAAATGAATATCAAGGCAACATGGGGGTCAATTCTTGAGAAGGGGATAGATAGGCTTGGACAATTCTTGTTCTCCTTTGAATCACTTGGTGAGGAAGGATCGGCAGATGTTTGCAAAAGATCGGATTTCGATATATGAAGTTCGTTGTTCAACTCGTTGATTAAATCCCTAAAAGAGTTTCTTCTTGGGTCGATGCTGGGTGTTTCATTCTCTCCAGACCCAACTGTCCAAAACACATCAGGACCCAACTTCTGCAAAGTGTTTCTGTTCACATAGTTTAGCTTTTCGTAGTAGTAGTTAAAGCTTCGTTTCGGATTCTTGAGCCTCCAGCCTAAAAGAAAATCCCAAATTCGCCCGCGATCGTGCTTCGACCACACTTTAGTCCCGCAAAACTTAAGCCACCATATTAACCATTCATCATCCAGACAGCCAAATTTGGTCAATATTTGCTCCTCGTGGAAATGCTGGGCAAGCTCAGGAAGCAACTTACGAAAACAAAATATGAAAAGGGAAACTCTTTGTTCAATTGTGCCCCCAGTTATCGGCAATGTTGTCTTGTTCATCTTTGACTGTTTTCTCTCATCCTTGTGATCATTCTTATCAGAAGTAGACTCATTCTCACTTGACGCTTTCGCTGCTGGGTCAGGGCAATGCAATAGCACCAACACCAATCTTTCATAAACGTCGTGGAAACTCATGTTTGAAATCGTTTCGTTTTTATATATCAAATCATCAAGATACTTGTCCAAACCTGGGATATGGTCGATATAGTTTGAGTAGTCGTCAACAACACTAGCAATCAATGATGACCCCTTTTGTGAATGGTCCCTCCCAACCAAAACCCACGGTGTTTTCGGTATTGGTGGGAACCACTCTGCCAAATTCAATGCCATCCATGATAGCGATGTATCATACTTGATGATCTTTGCCCATTTGAGGGTAAACTTTAGCACCGAGCTCTCCAACGTGTGAATGATTTCTTTTTCAATTGGTGTCAACTCGTGTGATTTCAAGTAGTAGAGTCGTTGGATATACCTGGCGATATCCTTTTTAATTTTCTTTTCAATCTCAGTGCTGGCATCTGAATCTTTTCGACTCTCGGATCTTGTTTCATAATCGCTTTCCGACTGACTGAGATACCCTTTTGAGGACGACGAAGTTTCCTTACTCGAGGTACTCTCCACATCACTCGCTTCATTGATGATCTCATTATCCGGTTGAATGAATGGTTCCAAGACAAACGGATGGTATTTCAATAAAATGGGCCACACTTTAAATCGGAGAAACGGAGGTATTCCTTTCTGTCTGGCAATTAAGGCTAATCCATGATGGTTTTTTGTCCTTAAATATTCTTTACATAGGTTGAAGATTTCCAAGTCGTAGTTAAAAGATGGTTTGTGGTCGTCTGTTTGATAAGAAGGCGACCCGCCCTTTGATTCCAAGTCACCTTGTTCCTCATCACTCATGGATTTAGTTGAAGTAGTTTTCTCTGAAGGAAGTTCGGCATATTTCTCATCAGACAATTCGGATGAAGCTGTAGAAGCAGTTGGTAAAGTCAAGCTTGAGGAGAAGTTCTTTTCCATCATTTGGGAAAGCATTATTAAAAAAAAAAAGAATATGTCAAACAAAAATACGCTGAATATGGGTGCAGTTCTTTCGTGGAATTGGAAACGTATTTCAAAGTGTTAGCGATAGTTTGTGACACTTGGCGTTATTTCTTGAACGGTGTGTTGCTATATTTGATATGTGAAACTGGACGTATATTTGTATAATGTAATCAAGACGTAGAAACCATCCAAATGTGATGAATTCTACAGGGCAATTTCTGTGAATAAAAAGGGATTGGCGTTAAAACATTGTTGAGATTGTTTGACACTTCTTATTATTATTGTAATTTAAGTTGAAAGGGAGAAACCGCTTGTGTAAAGTGGGAATAAAATGCCCTAGGCCGTTGACTTTGCAAAGTGGAAAGAGGTGAGTCTGTAAAGTGGAATTTCAGCACTGATTTAAATTTATTTTTTTTTCTTTCCATCCGTTGGAAGAAGACTGAGAAGAACGAGAAAAAAATAAAAAAAAAAAAAATAAAAGAGTCGTGTGAGTTTGTTATGTAGAGAAATGTAATGTAACCCTAAACAAACCAAAACAAAACAAAAACGCCCTGTAGGATGGGATATATATTCCCTTTTTTAAGTTGCTGTAAGGAATAGTAAGTCTTGGATCAAGGTGTGGCTAAATAAAAGTAAAAATTCTATTTTACAAATTATATCTTTACATTAGATGATACATATTCCTATGGGATGTTTTCCAGTTAGTTAGTGAAATGCTTCTTCTTTGATCAACTGTCTTGTGAATTTTCTCACACGACACTACCCGGAACAAAACTAAAATTATCGGATATTAGACTTTGCCGGGTTGCAAAACATTGCTCCAATGACTCGTGAGGCGAATGGCCGGTTTTGCACTTCAAAGACACTTGGCTTTGTAATAAATCAACTTAGTTGTTCTCGTCAGTAGACTTTATTTAACGATTTCGGTTTCATATATCTAAATTTGAAAACATGAGACTTGATTTAGCCTCCATTTAGCTCCCCCACGAAGGTGTTAGAGATACACCAACCTTATTCTCCAAGACCTCAGTTCCAAAACGACTCTTCGATCTTTGTTTAATAGATTCGAAGTGACAATGGACCTTACTTTATCTCATTATACAAGTTTGGTTTCTTCTACCTCAGGCTTGATGGCCATATGATACTATTTTATCGTGCAAGTATAATGAGGGGATGGGGGAACAATCTCTACTGTTGAGTTTTGAACGTAGCAAGAGAACCGGTTTGTCTTGTTCAAGTGCCTTTAGAAAACTCCACCGTGTAATTGGGTTCTCCCTTTCAGCATCTCAGAGTACAAAGAGTAAAAAATTGGTTTCGCGTGTTGTAAGTTTGCAACCACAGCCAGGATTGCGTGAGTGTACCGAGTTGCAATACGATGCCTTCTGGTGTAAGCCGGTATATCGAATTTACATCATTAAAGATAACTTTGAATCATCTGAAAGCTAACCAGTAGAGTTCAAGAAAAAAATCCCTTCGAGGTGGACACAACGACTACACCCATTTAGTCCAGTCTAATTGCAACTAACAAAACAAACACAAGTGAAAGTGAACACCAGTGGATTAACCTATTAGGTTACCTTTTCGAGACTGCTGTTTACTGCAGTATCAAAACTCGAACTGTGGATAGTATTCGTAGTACATTGTAGATACAAAGAAACCATTCCTGCTTATGCCTGTTCTGATTCTAAAGTTCCGTTCGTTTAAAAGCGTTTTTCCCACCAAGCGTGTTAGAATTGAATAATTATGATGTGAGCCTATAGGACAAGTGTTGGCACGCCTGGTACATGTCGATTGCTGGATGGTCATCAATTAATACGCAAAAATAGGGGTTCAGTAGGTATATGACTATCTAGGGATACCAGATTAGACTTACCACCTAGCCAAAAAGGCTACTACCTCCCAACGTGACCTAAGCCAGCGCTTCGGTGTTCATTTCAGCCTCGTCAATATTCACCCACTCACAGTATGCATGACGGCTAAATTTTTACAGCAATAATGAATGAAAAAAAAAAGAAATTTAAGAACTAAAAACAGAGAGAAAAAAAAAAGAAATTTCAAAGTTTGTAAAAAATAGGAGATAACCACAAAAGAATATAAGGTAGTGTACTATTGCACAATGTTTTTAAAAAATGGCAAGATTATAAAAAGGGGAGATAGAACGAAGATCGGAACAAACATTGTTTGCCACTCAAAAGTCAACAACACTTTTAATTCAAGAGTAAACAAATTACAACACAACAATACTACAACAACTCAATCAATCAAATTCAATAGATCAGAGTAATTAATAAACTAAAGCATAATGCAAATTTTCGTTAAAACTTTGACTGGTAAGACCATCACCTTGGAGGTAGAATCCTCCGACACCATTGACAATGTCAAGTCTAAGATCCAAGATAAAGAAGGTATTCCACCAGACCAACAGAGATTAATTTTCGCTGGTAAACAATTAGAAGACGGTAGAACCTTGTCTGACTACAACATTCAAAAAGAATCCACTTTGCACTTGGTGTTGAGATTAAGAGGTGGTTTTTAGGCTTTGATAGAGAAAAGTTTGCACTACATAGTCTTATAATATTTTCTAATTAAACTACTTTGCTAATTCAACTCTAACAACATTTGATTTCTCAACTCTAGAAAGCTCCTCTAATGTCGATTTAATGAGGTTCTGATTTCCAGTCTCAATCAAAATCGGTAACAACTCCTTTGATAATCGAATAAACTCCAACTTTACTGACTCCAAAGCATCAACATCCAAACATTGTTCTTTCAAAACCGTCCAAGTTTGAATCAAATCGGGTTCAATGTCGCTGTTACTCCTTGGTAAGCTCTTGACAATCTTTCTAAACAATTCGGTAATCTTAATTTGGGACCTCCAAGTGGTTGAAACCGCAGATTTAAAAAGTTTTCTCATCTCTTCAAATATGAAATGGAAAAGGTTGACTTCACCCAATTCGTAATAGAACGTAACCCCCAAATTGTGAAATAATTCCAAAACCCTCTCTTCGCTTTTCGAACCTATTTTGGTTCCTCGTTCAGCATCAGTCATCTCTTCATCACTATCATCATCTTTACCTCTCGTCTCACGTTGCAAGATGTCCTTCATAACTTCTACATAGCATTCGATAAGCTGCTGGTTAGTATGGAACTCATGGATGAACGTTCCACTCTTTTGCACTGCTAAACGCTGGTACCTCTTATTTCTTCTCTTAATTTCGGTGTGTATGGTTCTCTCAATAGCGTCAAGCAAGTCACCATGTTCCAACAAGTACTTCCTGTTCAAGATTGAGAAATCAACCAAAGCTCCAAAAACATATTCCTTACCTTCCCATGATTTACCCTTGTTGGAATCAATCAATAATTGAATCAATTCTTCAATGTTTTTGTCAGAAAAGTGACCAGAACCCCCAAACGCAAGACAAAGATGGCACACGGCTCTTGCCAACGTTGCCCTGATCGAAAATTCGTTAGACTTCAAGTACTTCTTTGCATAATCAAGTATTTCAGTCGAATACAACCTAATCGCTGAATCACCGGCTGTATGTTCCGTCCACTCCAAATCAAAATTGCGCTTCACTGGTTCAAGTTCATCAAATCTTCCAATGAAAGCCAAGGGCAAGAACGCCGACGCAACAACACTGAATTGATCCCCAGAGTATTTGGACACACAATTGCTTGCATTCGACGCTAATAATCTCGATCGCTCATCACCCGTTTCTTTGGGCTCAAAATACATTTTCGCAATCTTGTCCGAGTACTTGATGATTGCTTCTACAGGACAAATGCGGCAAATATACCCAGCTGCGGCGGCGTAGCAAGACGACACGGTGTTATTTCTATCCTTGATTTGGCTTGAAGCAATTTCCAATAGTTTGGAGCTGTAGGGTTTCATAAATGTATGGTAGTTCATCACCAATGTAATCAACACCTTTGAGCCGCTCACTTTGGAAGGTAATCCAACTCCATGCTTAACACTACGTTCCAATTTGGTCAAGAATTCTGGCATTGCCTTCTCGTCCAATTGGCTTAATAAGAATTCAATCGCATCCATCAACAGGGACTTCCCAACATTTTGCAATCGTTTTGCATCAAACTCTTGGTTATCAATATTGAAATTACCTGCATTAAGAGCCAAGTAGTTCACCACTTCGGGCTCCAACGTGGAAAAAAGATTGATGAAATTTTCAATTAAATCAGCAATATAAGGTTTCAATGCCTTGCTTTTTGTTTTGCATAGTTTCAACAACGTCTTGATGGAAAAATCTTTAATGTCTTGGGAGTCAGAAATAATTCCCTTGTTTCCAAGTAAAAACAGAATCAATCTGCCCAAAACTTCTTGACTTTCTGAGGTGCTTGAATCCTTTTCTAAAGCTCTTGTTAAGATCGTCACCAATGCCCTTGTTAACTTCAGCCCTTCCTTTCGAACGCTCTCCTTTATATCATCCATTACTCGAAAACTCATTGTCCAAATCTCCTCAATCTTTGCCTCGTATCGAGTCAACTCGACAATTTGCAATAGATCACACATAGCCGTGGCGCTTGCTTGTCGTACTCTCCACTCTTTTTTACCCATACCAGTCAACAATTCATTCAAAATCAGATCAAAATTATCTTTGATGATGCGGGTGGGGTCATTTACCAATGAGTTCCAAATCGACTCCATTGATTGGGAAACGCTGGTGTAAGGGTCGTATCTGTACCGGTATAGTTTTGGAATGAGTCTCTGGGCAAACTTTGCATTACTAGATAGCATCTGATCTAAGGAGGATTGAGACAAGATGGATTCCAACCCATAGGCAATGCCTCGCCGTGAAGACCACAACGTGGAAGACTTGGTCAAAGACATGAATTTGTAAACTAGACTTGGATCTCCGGCGTCTTGTGCCAAGTTCAATACATCCTTGTATGTCGAAATTGACCCATCATTAGTCTTTAATACATCAGGCTCGAATAATGTTGTATCGTTTTGAACACTTCCAGCAATGTATGAACTGGCATCAGATTGTGTAAATGACTTTAATAAGGATTTTACCGATAATTCTTTGAATTCCGCATCACCCAATTCATAAACCAAAGCCAACCCTCTTGAAGCAGAGTCTTGGACAATTTCGTCTTTATCTGCCAAGAACCTCATAAAGCAATAGTGCAATTCGATTAGCCTCTGTTGAATCTCATCCAAATGGCCACAATGTTGCACTAGGGACAAGAGCCATATACATCCCGCACGTCTCAAAGAAGGCTTGGTATCTCTACAAGCTGCGATAACGACGTTCAAAATGATAGGCAATCGTGCTGTATCTCTTGGTAGGCTCTTGATGTCCACTTCAGGAATATCAAGTTTGTGTTGCAAAAGCTTAGACTCCCAACCAGAAGAAGTAATAACAAATGCTTCAGCAGAAGCAAAAATTGACTCGATCTCTTTCGAATTGTGGAATTCATAAATTGCTCGCTCATCTTCAGTTAGTTCATCGATGGTGCTATGCTTTCCCACTAATGCAAGATAACCCAAAGCTAGTACACTCTTTTCATCAAATTTTTTCAGTTTAGCCCGAGCGCCTGACTTGATTTTGTTGAGGGACTCCTTGACATTGTCCGTCATGGAGTCTTTAAATACCCCAAACATTGCCAATTGGGAAACCAGATCAATAGCTAAACTGTACGTTGACTGTTGTTGAGACAACTCAATAATGCTCTCAAGCAAGTTTTTCAAACCCAAACACGAAATCGATTTATATCTGCCCCTAGCTGACAACCTTGATAAGACATAACTCTGTGCTAATATAGCTGCAGATTTATTTTGGACACTTTCGAGACTATCTAATAGACAGTTCACCTGTTGCTCATCTTTTGACGGGTGGCTTCCAATAATACCCAAGATTTTGCAAACATCACCTATCGATTCATCACGTATGGACGTTTGACGAATCAAGGACATCAACTGTTCTTCCCTTCCCGAACATGCTTCAACTATGTCAGAAGAGGCGAAAGTGAGTAGTTGGCAAATAGACCGACCGTAAAAAATGCTGCGCACAAATTTAGAATCACTTTTAAACTGTCCAGAAAGAGCTTCAAAACAAAGGGATAGAAGCTTATTCACACCCTCTTTGATGTCACGATTTTTCATCTCTTCAATAACCAAGTTTCTTACCGTGTCATTCAACTCCAATGCCTTTTCCAAACGCACAGACCAGCTTTCGTCCAAAGTAATCACAGTCTTGTTACACCTCAATGCTTCCATTACCAAAATTTGCACAGCAAACTCTATTGCCCTTGGGAGTGTATCAAATAATGGTGAGTAAATATTCTCCGCAAGCTCGGTCGCAATAGTATTCACAAACTCGGTAAACTTTGGAAACACGGCTGCAGATTCATTCCCTAATAGATGAGATGTGGATTTGAACTCGCTGGAATTATTAGCATGCAAGAGGTTAAACCAGTGAGGATGCAACCCCCTATTAGACTCTTCAAGAATCTCGGAACTGTATTCTTTACCTGTTCCAGCAATGCATATCATTCTAGCAAAGGTGTCACTGAATGGAAATGCTAAGTTTATGAACTTTACGAGAATATACCTTCCCATTATTGTGTGAGACAGGCGATTCAAAAAATATTCTCTGGCCATCTCCCTCAAAGCCATTTTGTTTGTGCTGCTTATATTATTCAAATGGCTTGACAACCCTGATAAGACATCTTGAATGGAAACCTTTACTTCTGCATCTTCTTGGTCTATGGCTTCAAGCAAAAACGATACATAAGACCAGTCATTGATAAAAATTGCCGGTGCCGACTGCAATATTCTTCCCAAGGTTTCATATTTGGACCGCTTCTCAGTGAAAACTGCCGAATTGTATGAAGTATCGTTAGAGCTAGCCTCATTAGCAAGACTCAGTCGAAGATCATTTGCAATATCAGTTGTAAACTCTTTAAATCCTTTTTCATTCTTGTTTGTTTTTAAAAGCTTGTCAATGAGATCCGTTGAAAGCTTTCTCAACTTGAGCGATGGAGACTTTAAGCCGATTTTGCATACTTCAATAACATCCCCATTCTTTCCGATTGACACACTCTTTAAAAAAAGTTGCATAATTTTAAGTCTGAGATTCCAATCATTGGGGGTTGATCTGTTGGCATCCAAGAATATTCCAACAAGAAAGTTTATGAGGTTTGTTCCGGTGTAGAGAGTTATCTCGTCAACATTAATATCCAACGTTCTGAGTGACTTTTCCGACGCTTCACCAATCGCAGAAGATGGATCCGCCGAAGCAACCAAAAACGGCAAGACAATTTGATCACTAGCGAATCCCGATTTCAAAAATTGAAGCAACGAAAGTTTCGTGGCGGCCAATTCTGAATTACTTTGAAAATTGACCCCCGCATCAGTTGTGAAGTACTTTATATCTTCTTCACTCAAGCCAATTGTTACCTTTGTCGTTGACTCCATCGTAAACATTAAAAATTTAGCTACTTTAAAGGCGAGATATTGCTCATTCTTCTTGTCTAATGCTCTTCTTTGCTCCTTGAACTCGTCCGACTCAGGATCAAGAGCTTTCCAAGTCTTGAGCAACTTACATAAAATCCCAAACATACGTGCCGCAATGGATTCCGGAAGATCTGACATTCGCTCAACCACCAAAGGAACTAGCGCTCTTTTCTCGTCTTCGCTGATTCTGTCAACGCCTCGGGATACAAATAACGCCGAGTATAATCTCACCGAGGTTGAATCTAAGCCAGGTTTCAAACTGGGACTCTTGACCTGGTCAATTAGGGCCTTAACTGGCAATTGAAGGTTTCTTGTCGCAGTTATTCTTGGAATGACATGTTGTATGATTTTGAAAACTAGTTGTCGTACTTGTGCGTCTGGACTTGCAAGCTTCAACAACACTGGAGGTAGGTAAATCTTTAATGCATTCTCCAATTGTGCATTACTCTCTGCCAAAGCAATTCGTAGCTCCACCTTGTTTAGTAAGGATATCTCTTGTTCGGCCATGGTGGTTTGGAAGTAGAAAAATAGTGGCAAAAAAGAGAAGAAAAAATAAAAAAAAAAAACATTAGTTCGCGTTTTTTGCAATTCCATACAGTCTCCATACATTATGTACTCTTATATTCTCGCAAAATGACGGGCACAGATGAAGGTGGCAATGCGCCGAGCTCGGTGATGACTTTATTTATATACTCTGGGGGCGTCAAGTCGTACATTATATTCAAGATGTTCAACGTTGGGAGGGATTTCCAATTTTGCAACGGCAGCTCTTCCTTTTCATCAGCACTTTCCTTCTTCTCCTTTGAATTTTCCGCTCTTGCCTGCTTCAAAAACTGTTCCAAAGCAAAGGTCTTCTTTTGAGGTGGCCTTCTGCTATTTTCTGTGTTTATCAAATCATCGGGGTCTGCTAATTCGTTGCTTGTCACTGAATCCAACTGCACCTTGTCAGAAAATTTTATCGACTCGCAGCACGTCAACACAGGAATGTTTCTTGTGTGGCTCATCATGGCAATCATTGCCGTACCAACTCTTGAAAATAGGCGACCGTTGGATAACATCGCATGTGCACCCAAGAAAACACAGTCAACATCGTCCAACAAGGAAGATGACAACGCATTGAGCAAAACGTAGTGTACACTGATATACTTTTGCGTTATTGGAACCTCCTCACCTGAATCGCTTACGCATTTGGTTCTCAGTAATTGTCGCAACAACGTTTTCCCTTCAAATAAAGGTCTTGAATCAACAATGACCAAGGTAAACTTTTTTCCCTGCTCCACAGCACAGAATTTGAATAGATCCTCCAAAACTTGTGAATGGCCGTAGGTGAGAATTGTGGTTCCATTAGTGACGTGTTTTGCCGCACTTTGAACAATCAATTGGTCTGAAAGTTCAACCTTTTCTCTCAAAAAGTCGTCAATCTTTTGGAAGAGTAGCTCTTTTGCTTGGGATTCGGAAGCATCTATAGAAACATGCGAAATTTCTTGTTTCAACCATCTTATAGCATTGCCCATCGATACTGACAAGGGTCTTCCAGACTTGAGAAACTCAATTTGATGCGACAAGTGCCCAGTCAAGTGCCTAGTTAAAGCTGTATTTTCCGGAGTTTTATAATCGACAATGACTTGCTGAAACACTCGAAGCATATTGACCAATCTTGCCAGTGATCCTACAATAGTATAACTCGAGTACTTTAATGTCAAGGCAATAATTGCGGGATGAACAATGTGCGATATTGCAGGCGAAGATGCGTTCCTCTGCTCGCGAGTTTCCAAGTGTCCAAACAAATGTGGCACCTTCTTATCTGTCTTGATAAGTGCTTGATTCAATTGCTTTTTCAAATTCGACGCGGTGTTGGACGTCGCCGATTGTGATTGCTTCTTCTTCTCGTCCGCTAGTTGTCGTTGTTGTTCCACTGTAATACCATTTTTCTCTTTCTGAGCTGCTCTCTTTGCCGCTTTTTCCTTCTTTTTCAACTCCTTGAGCTCTTTGTTTGATAGTTTCTTTTCCTCTTCAGGTTCTACAGGTTTCGTTTGTACTCCAGTGTCTGCCATCTTCTTTGCTAAATGTTATAGGATAAGTCATACAGCCAAAAATTTTTTTTTATTTTTTCAAGTTGAATCTTCTGATGTGCGCTACCAAATTAAAGATGAAACGAAGAAGAGATCAAACCAATACAAAATTAACTCCTACGGAGGCATACTCGAACGCTAGCTATGAGAATGGCTCTATATGATTGAGTACCCGAAGGAAGGAGAATCAAATCAACCATCTCACCAATGCGCCACGTTTTTATCACCATGGCAACGACAGGACAACTGCATCTTAGAACCCAATTGACATATTACGCATCATTGCTAATGCTGAAGTCAAAAACCAGTCAGTTCCTTTCATTTACTTCCTTTGCTATGCAGAACAGGAATTGAAACAAGCCACGCAACAGCCAAGTCAAAGTATAAATCTAGAAGAATGAGACAAGAGTACAAGGCATGGCTCATATTTGTACACTTGTATACACAATTAATTTGCTCCAGTTCAATTTTTTTTTTCTTTTTCGCATCTTTTTGGAAAACCTAAAGCACAAAACCTTTTTGTTCTGTCTTTCTTCTTCTCTAATAGCAAAAAAAGATCAAAAATGACAATGAAATAACATTGCAACCCTTCTGGCACACTGCAGCTCCCAATGGCAGTGAGCCAGGACGCCTAAAACAGCTAACAGGCAGCAAATACCTGGACCATTTCTGACTAGGACTACAATTCTGGGCGTTTATCTCCAGAAAAGCTCAGCTAACACAACGCCAATGGTGATTTGGCACATTCCTCTTCACGATTATTAAAAACCTACCGACCTTTTTCCGCCTATAAAAAAAGGATGCGAATCAACACCATGAGGGAAGTGTACTTACTTTACCACTTAAGTGTATTTAAGTGTGGTTTGGTATCTGTTGTGTTTTCGTTGAAGGTTCTCATTTATTGTTGGTTACCGCATCTGTTTACGCGTTTGTTCGTAGAGAAAACATATACAGTCTTTTTATTTTTGTTTCATACTAGTGTGACATAATTGTTCATACCAACGCGATATTTATTTTTCATACTATGAGGACATAATTTTTCATACCAGTGCGACATAAATTTTCATACTAAGACGACATAAATTTTCAAACCATGTTATTACCCAAAACAATCTCCACACTTCTGACCAAATTGAGCCTGATGCTGTGGAATTAGGGCATTTAGATTAAAAGTATGACATAATATCAAATCATTTTTTTTTTGTTTGAGCTTTGTCCTCTTATACTGTCCTCTCTTGAACGCTTTTGCAGTCAATTTCTCAAGCCAAAAGCTGTCTCCTTCCTATTTCCAAGGGTCCATACTGTTTAGAAAGATTTCTTCTCTAAACAGTATGGTATAAAGCTACTAGCATGCTTACAGAATCCTTGATAGCTTTCTAAGGTTATCTTCGCTGTTGCTTCTCTTACCCTTGGAGTTAATTGTTCTTTTGAACGACAATGGTGTTGTGGAATGATTCTCATATAAATGAATTTGAATAGTTGGAAAGAAGTGAATTGCCAATAGGGCCAGTCTGACGATCTTTTCATCGGTAGATCGATTTTACAAAGTGGTATTCAATTCAAACGCTATTGTAAGGTCGAGAGCTCAAGAAATGGTCAGCATTTAGAGACATGCTAAAATTTTTGGGCACGCATTGTCAACCGCATAATAACATATCAACACTGTTTACTGAAGGAGTACCTTGCACCTGAGTCGTCAAGAGATTAATAGCAAATGCATTATTAGCAAGGTATGAAAATACTATACATAAAATTAATCTTTCATGCGACACTCTCTCAGACATTCTGCCTTACCACTGCCTTTTTAAGACATTCATACTGATCCCGGTTCAATGGCTTCGGCTCAAAATCCTGCAACTTGAGGAA